GCTTAGTTGGTAGAGCATCCGGTCGGAAACCCAGTGGTCGCTAGTTCGAATTCTATCGCCATCCAGATCAATATTTCACCTTCAATCATCACTCAGTATCAATATTAGAGGTAATAAAATTTAACCTGAGTTCCAGGTTTGATGAAATATACTTGAACTCATCACCTAAATCTATGTAGAGGAATCTGATCCGAATATGAACATTAGCAACATCACACTCATTATATCCACAAGCACATATTTACAGTTACGTAGCAACTCATAGTATTCATCATATCGATAAATACTGACACTTTTGATTTTATATTCGCAAGTTAGGACTGTAATATGATAAGTGAATCGAGTTTTCTAATGCTACAGTAGAACTTCACGTTACATGTCATTATGTATTTTCTAATCGTTAAAAAACCAAGCAGAGACTACAAATAGCATAGTTAAAAAATAAGTTTGCCTTTAACGGTATGCTTCATATGAAGTTGTTATTAACTTATTTCATTCAAAGAAAAAAACTTAGTACAGCATGGGTGACGAGAAATGTTGTACTAAACAATACAACAACATTAGGAAGACATAAAAGTGATGCAGAAGGAAGAAAAGGACAACAGGACGGAAGCGAAAATATGAGTTATTAAACAAGTAGTCTGAAAGATACATCTAAAGATGCTTCCATTACTTTGGCTTAACCACTGGATAACAAAGGCGACAAGATAAGTGAAGCACGATAGATACATATTTCGTTTATTAGATCTCCTTAAGTCCCTCAGTGGAGATATGAGGCATTATCAGGTGCTAATCTCACACATATATTTCTCATCTTATAGCATTACTTCATACACTGACCAACTCTTGGCATTTTCAAACAATCCTAAGGCCAGCAAACAATGAACGAAACGGCAGTCGATGCAACTACATTCGTAATATATATCCATGTCATCGAACCTCGTGTTTAAGGATGACTTCACCCAAAGAATACTTATGAACTACTTACATGAAATTTCCGCTGACTTTTAGCTATCCTACAGCGAAGAAAAATCGGTTAATGTCACAAATTCACAGGATATTCTCAGCTCAGATAGGCCAAATTTACAACACATACAAAAGAATTACCCACACCAACGCGCTGTACACTCTACTTTTTACAGCAAGGTTAACGTCATGATAGCAACGAAGTTAACTCATGGTTAGAAATCTCATCAATCATACTTCGACTAGCATTCACACAACTATTCAGACACACGAATACTTTAACTAACTCTAACAGTTAAACCAGCCAACCTTGTAGAAGTGAATTGAATTTCGGTGGTACAAACTGCAAACCTACGGACACTGACCAACTGTAACTCAAACTACACAATAAAAAAAAATAGTTTACGTACCCAGTGTTGGGGAATTTTCCACTTAGTAGCAGTTGTATACCATCACCGGCATGTAAACTCCACACAGATGCCTCGGGAATGTCACCGGTGGCAGCATTTTTGAAGGATGGTGAAACTGGTCACCCCTAACAAACCCCACTGCTGGTTTGGAAACACGATTAATTGAAAATCCTCGGTTTTCTCCCCTTAGACCAGTTTTTTACGCGTTTTAAAGCTCCTAGGAAATACGATAGCGGCCAACACTTTAGACTTCACTGATACTCCGATGACTGTTAAATATGTTATGTAGACCATTTTAATGCCTGTTACAATGACCTAATTCCAGAGCAATGCAACAGTCTCAGTCTCAGATCCGCCCAAATAATCTTATTAGCTTCAAAACTACAATCCCACCTACACCGTTAAAATAATTAAGACTAAGTTGTCTCCGCTCGGTGCCTTATAGCACTTTAGTGCCGGCTTGTTTCCCATAAGTTTTTGTCACGTTTGAACAGTAGGTGAAGTTTAGAGTCAGGTTTGATTAGCTTATGGTGCTCAAATCTACATTTTTATCGATCGTCTGTTCACTTGCATTTTAAGAATTTCTCATGTAGTTTACTACAGCTGGAATACTCATCACTTAACTCGTTTGCCTTTAAATTTTGACGTACTAATAGGAACACTCAAAAACGTCTTCAGGAATAATGCTTTTTTATCTGAAATCCTCTTCAGTGAGACTGCGATAGGAAGTGGCCTAAATAGAAATCAACATATTTAGTCATCAGCCGCTAAATAAGTCGTTGTTCCATGTAACTGTGTGGTCACGAGAAACCTTATTGGACAGTTTTAACCTACAGCTGACCAATCAAAATGAGTTATTTCACTTCTGACCTAGTGATTTTATATGTTCATGAAAACTTGAGTTAAATATCAAGTTTCAGTTGAAGACTATGGAGTGAAGGATACCTGCATCCTTTTTTTTTAAGAATCTAGCGAAAATAAAATGTATAAAGTAGTTTGCTCAACTATGCCCGAATGTTTAACGTAAATTAACAAAGAACCAAAGAGATGTGGACTTAATGCTTATGCATCAGACATATTCCACTATGGCTGTTAAAGGTCAGATTTCAGAAACTGAGACGATTACTGGTCACTATCAGTAATAAATCAATACATCTGACACCTAATATGTCAATAGGCGAAACCAGTACGTACATTAGACAATAACTTTAGAGAAAGTGCTATTTCATTCATTTCATCTTTATGAAAAAGATTTTTTATATGGTTTCATAAAGCCTCTACTCGATGGCACAAAAAATGAAAGTAGGTAATCTCATCTTATTGTGATTAAAAGTTCTACTTTTCATTTTTCTAACCGATCCTTGAACCTCTAAGGTGACTCTATTTTTTATCATTTGACTATGGGAGATAGTCATAGCTCAGATGGTGGAGCATAAGGGTAGTAAACCCGGTGGTCGCTGGTTCGAATCCGGCTGCGGTCAAAATTTTCATTTCACCTTCAATCATCACCCAGTATAAAGACTCTATCTATATCACGATTTCCCAATAACGTTAATTAGAATTATCTATACAACCGACAACTAATTCTGACGCCACCGAATCACTCTCGTTTTAATCTCCAATACTGCTTATAGTGTAATTTAAAACTAATTTACCAATTTAAATTATGATACTGGCTGATATTATTACTCTAGAATAGCAATATCTATTGAAGTCACATGATTGTGCCTGATTGCCAGTAAGGGGATTTTTATATTAAACTAGATATGATAACTGACAACCTACGGATGAATGAAGTTATAATCCATTCATCTCTGAGATAAAGATTGAGGCTGTGTATTAAAGCGCTCTATCTTTCGACTTTGACAGATAATAATTGTAGCCTAAACTAGTTCAAATCAACATGAACTCCCTCCAAAGCTAATTAGCAATGATTTAGTCTTCCCAACACTCTGATGGTACTAAAAATCAATCACCAGTGATTATTTGTATACAAATGAGTACAGAGATCTTTCTTCAGTTCCCTGAGTCACCAATAAGTAAAAAGACTGCAGGTGATGAAAATAGTAACCAAATACTTCCTTCATATCATCTGAGTACTTACTATTTGGTGAATTCGTCAAGAGAAATAATCAATAGCACTGATGTGTATCACAACCTTTTCTGCATTTTTAATAAGTTTATCCATCGGAAAGCGGATAAACAACTGAATATCATTCATGAACTAATAAGCGTTCAATTTCTTCGACTAGTGCCATTTATAATTTCTGGTAATTTATGTATCCAGGTTAACAAGTTCACAGATGCGTAGTAAATTAAAGGACTTACTACGTTCTTTATGAAAATCCATAACTGTAAACACGAGAAAAAACTGTAAAATATAAAAAGGATAGGCAATATTTCATTCACCCCCGTAAAATATTTTTTGCTCCTCTTACTCCTAGAATAAACGGGGATAATCTGTTGGATTTATGAGTTTCAGTTCGCATTATTAAGTAGTATGCATAATATCGACTCTCATAGATGTTAGCTGAATGAATGCAACCGACAGGAAGCCCTGGACCTAGGTTTCATGCTTGTTGGCACTCGTCAGCAAGGTGTATCTAAAACCCTGACGGAACTGATGACATCATCTAAGATTCGAATCCAGATCACCTAGTGTTGTAGTCAGCGATGTTAGCACTGAGCTTTTCGGGCCGCGACTGACCTCCTATAGGACTGGAGGGAGGAAGCAAGACATCAGTCCATCGAGGTTGTAGATACACCTTGCTGACGAGTGCCAACAAGCACGAAAACTAGGTCCAGGGTTTTATGCAGATTTTCTCCATGCGACTAACATTTATTAAAGTGCATCGGGATGCTGAGCTGCCTAGTCTGGTGGCCAGATTGCAAAATGACCAATAGAATTCTGTGAGCACATGGAACTAGATAACATAAAGTTGATTACCCCTCCAGTGACCAATCAATGTAAAGTAACGACTCATTTGGCATAAAGATCACAGATAGAAGTCTGAAATCTGTATGAAAAACTGAAATACACTCATTAACCTTGTGCACATATGTAGCAAACAACGAGCCACACCTAACGTATGCGGGTAAGTCACCACTTAACCACCTAAAACCTCAGTAGCCGTAGCAGGGTTCGGACTCGTGACTCATTGGTTGGAAGTCATTCTCCTAAACCATTGAGTCGCAGCTCCACTTGAAAACCTGAAGAAATAGTTTAACACATGCGTTGTCTACAGAATGGGATAAAAAAGAGAGGGAAACATGAAAACGAGATATAGCGATTATTGACAGAAACATATTTAGTACTAAAAGCATGGTATGCTTATCGTGAACCAGGGTCCCTTTTAAAACTTATAACTGTGTCTACGACTTACAATAACAGAATATAAATAAAACATAACAGGGAAGTACACATTCATACACTGAGCTATGGACCATACGTATTGTGTGACAACTGATGAGAATACCTGACTATATTAACCTTGATAGGTGGAAAGGCGTTAAAAGCAGTAACCAATAGTTGAAAGTTGAATGTCTAAACCAATGAGATACATATTTCTGCATGTAAAACTCGGCGTTCAAATTCCCCAAGGACATTCGTAACAACTATGATATGAATATTTAGTAAAACTTTTTCAATAAAAAAAAACACAACAGTATTTAAGTATGAAACAATAATGTATACTTGAAAAAGTAATAAATATACAACTTCAAAATGAGTGTACATATAGCAACATAGTGATTGGAAAGATTAATTCACTTGAATACAAGTAGGATAAGTATAAAAGTTATGGATCAAGTAAACTGGTCTCCAGGAGTCACAAAACACTTCCATTTACACTATCTACTTCATGTGTGCTTGTTTCCATGATGGAATAGGTTTAACCTGTGTTTTAATAGACAATGGAGAAGTGAAACGCAGAGTATACTGAGGTCCTCCAGCTTTATCATTTGTACCTTAAGCATAGGATAACAAATGAGAAAATTATTAATAAATTATAAATCCAAGACTGTAAAGTTATAGTATGACTGGTTTAAATATATAATTGTCGCTTACGCTGACTGGTCACTGGAGAGCACATAACCTCATGTTGTCCAGTGCTGACCGAATTTTGTCGATCATCTTGCAGTGTGTCGCCATCAAGCTAAAAGGTTCAGCATATCGGTTCAATATGATTGATGTTAGTTGGTTGGAGGCAATGAGCAGTAAGCCCTGCTCTACATAGGTTTCATGCTTGTTGATACTCGTCAGTATAGAGTATATGCAACCCCGAAGGGAACTAATGTCACCGCTAGGACTTGAATTCGTAACGGCACGCTGACTACAACACTGGTTCAAATCCCAGGGGGGACATCGGTTCCCTCGAGGTCTCATATATCCCTTGTTGACAAGTAACAACATCGCTTCCTGCCGATTGCTTCCAACCAATTAACATGCTCACAGTTAGCTTGGATTAGAATCAGGTTAAGGTGGGAATAATCCATTTAACTGAGATAGTAAACTTGAAGTAAGAATAATGTGTCAAGGATAACTTTTGTGTATCATAACATGACAAACTACACCTTTTTGTCGCATAAATGATCACTTAATTTGGATAATTCAGGAAAAGTATAAAGTATTGTTTCTAGCTGAAGAGTTTGCTGAAAAGGAAGTAGCTATAACTATCATAGATCCAGTACCCCTCTGTGTTAGATGGTGTCCTCTCTCTGAGATTGGAAGTAACATTCAGCAACGTTACCACTGAATTATTGAGATCACGATTGACCCCTAGTACTTCTATGTCAAATGAAGTTTAATTATTTACTGCAGATTTCAATTAAAATTCCATACAACTGCAACCATCGAAATAAACTCAGTAACCATATGCATGTTCGTAGATTACACAATGAGTCACACCTGTTTTATGAAGGCTAGTGATACTATGCGGGTACGCAGACCTTGGTATATGGGGCGGGGTTCAAACCCATGGCCCATCAATTGAAAGTCAAGTCCTTAGACCAATGAAGTCACAGCTTCATAAATGCAACCAATTTTATCTATCCATTGAGACTTTATGGATATATATGATTTGTTTTCCTTGGTGAAAAAAAAATTCATAACTACACAAAACTTGATATTTAAGGTTGTCTGAGATAAATACATCTGTTTATTTAAATGCCTCTGAGTGAGACTACTTCAGATAAGCCAATGTAAGACAGATACACTTTTGGAAATATTGATTAATTGAAAAAAAGTCTCCGTGCTATAGGAGATATAGATGAAACAAGGACAATTGCTCAGATATTTTATTATGAATAGAGTGAATGTATAAAATGCTTATCATAGTAGACAATGAACGATACAGCAACAACTAAATGATGCGTATGTTACTGACTACGGACTTTTTCTTACTCTGTCTGTGTTTCTACCTGTCTATGTATCTATCTACCTTCCTATAGAGTGGATGAACAACTTCCTAATAAATATTTAGTTCATAATTAGTACTGGGCAGTCGTGGAGCCAGGTTCAAAAGACTGCAGATAACAGAATGCAATGGAGACGTGCTACTGAAGCCCTATGTTCCGCTAGGAACCTAAGGGACGAATAATAATTATCATAATTAGTAAATGTACTTTAATGTATATTATTGACTACACGTTTGTTTATTAACAATAAATATACCTGATAATCTAGCACCCCCAAATGGTTGTTGACCAACTACAGATCCAGTCGACTGAACATTCACATAAAAGTTACCTGTTGTATCAATTAGACGATCAGTTGCAAACTTAATGAATTCTTCATCTTGAGCAAAAATTGAGCCTATTTTTTTCAAAAAGAAAAAAAATAATTCAATAATACAAAATTTCTATTATTTATAGAAAAGGATACACCGAAAAATGAACGAATTTATATTATCAACTACCAAATGACGGTTAGTGAGTAGCGGTGGGATCCAGGATGTGTATTTCGTCCCATCTGGGACTCGTCAATTGCGTATACCTGCCTACTAGCGAGCGATGTTGTTCGTAATGAGGTTCGAAGCTTGGACTAATCGTCAGAGAATTATCCACTAGCCCATTAAGTCATGGTAGACACTATTTGTGCGATGAGCATAGTAGGTTTTTGATGTTATGGCTTGCGAATCTTCGCCGTTTTGATTGGACCGAACTGGTCGATCACTATTGACATATGGTGTCCTGTGCAGATGGCTCAATATTGACTGTATTTTCAATTTTGATATTAATGATAGGTAGTGGTCAGCAGTGGAATCCAGGACGCGTGTTTCACCCTTAGGGTTCATCAGTTGGAATTGCCTGCTTCCCAATAAGTAATGTTGTCCCTACTGAGGTTAGTCAGTTATATATCTTTAAAACATGTCTGACCTCCAGGATGAAAATTCCTTTTCAGCAGTACGCAACCACGACTCGGCTGGGAACCGAACTCAGGACCTTCGAGTTTTAGATGGTATTAGCCTTTGTCTTCTGATATTTGCATGACTCAGTGAAGAATAAGATGGTGAGTAAGGAATATTCATAGTGGCATTCAGTTCTAGTGTATCACTGCGTGTGTTTAGTATCATTATTACCTACGCCTTATTGCACTCGATCACTTCAGTATCACAAGTAATATATAAGCGAAAACCCGACAACACTTACCAGTCAGTGCATACTGTGTAGTTGAGTTGACAAGATCCAAAATTTTATCAATTTCATTCTCACGATATAAATACGCTGTGACAATTGGTCCGAAAATATCCTCCTAAAAATGTATATACCAACCATTTGTTTAAGAACAGATCAGTAAATCAAACACTTGATTGAATTCAAAAGTATGATAATATAAGCAAGTAGGCAAGATCATTCATTGTCAACTTCTAATGAGAACTAACTGATCCAACCATCCCATAAAAAGCTTCGATCACAAACTCATAACAATTAAACTGAGTGTTCACCATCAGCATGTCGATGTCAATCATTACCAAACACATTTTGCTTTCAACTGCTAAGCAAATTTAAACAATTTCACAAACTACAACTAGACCTTAACTAAACTTCATATGTCTACACACAGGGATGGAAGAAGAGGTGTTACATCTAAATGAGATTAACTCTTAAGGGTATAGACAGTAATATTACACATTAACCGTCAACTACGATAACGATAAAAGGAATTATTTATGAAGAGAACAAAATCGGGGCAAACTGAAAATAACAATAAATTTGAGAAAGTAATTATCTTAATCAAAACTGAGGGACTCTAAAGTAGTTGCCTCAGCAACTATTTGTATGTTCATGAACTAAGCGAAGAGCAACGAGGTTCGAAGTCATGACCGTTGAGAATCTCCAGTTTGCATAAAGCATTGTTATTGACAGGTAAGGTTAAAAGTTATCCCTAAGTGTGATAGTATTCTATGTGAAAATACGTATTTTCTTTGTTTTCTAAGCGTATATTTCGAATTAAAAAATGCAATCATAAATCCTTTTTTGATGCAGTTTGAAGGCTTAATTAACTTTGATTTGTGAGCATCATTCTTCATAAAATAAATGTGCTCACATCCCAACTAGGAGGAGGAAGTAGAACCATTAATTTCACACTTGTGGGTGTTAGAGCCTATGGAGACATGTTCGGGGAGCTATGCTCGTCGAGTGGTGTCCGTCAAGAGTGTCCACTGTCTCCATTTTTATCATAGATATCCTTATGGAGGTCTCCATCTCGTCACCTAATTACCAAGAGGTTGACATAATCGGTGGAGAATTCTCGTTAGACGTAGAATATGCAAATGACATAGTCCTGTTGGGTGAAGACGCTGACAAGATGCAGAGTCTTCTGAACACTCTGAGTGGGGATTTGAGAATGTTTGGGATGCGTTTCTCACCACCCAAATGCAAATGACTGCTGCAGGATTGGTCTTCGGTGGTGCCACGGCTAACAATAGAGAGTGAGTGTCGTGGTTGAGTGTGTTGAGCATTTCACTTATCCGGGAATTAGGATCGTCCCTGGTGGGACGATGGTGGTGGCCGATGAAATCTGTGCACGGGTATAAAAGGCTCGATTGGCTGTTGCCAATTTAGGCCAGCTATGGCGCCGACGTGATATTCATTTGTCTCCTAAGGTTTCCGTGTACTGCACATCAGTCTGCTGTGTTGTACTGTATAGTTGTGAAACATGGCCGCCATTGAAGGTGGAAGACATGAGAAGGCTGGCTTCAAGTGTTTGACCACCGTTGCGTTCGTAGTATAGGCTGTATTGCGTGGTGTCACCATGTGAGTAACGCAGAAGTTAAGTGTAGAGTTTTAGGGAGGAGAGGTAAGTTAGTTGACACAGTTGTGGGCCTTCATCAACTGAGATGGCTGGTTGAAACACATGTTACGTACGCCCAGTCACTGTCTGCCTCGTCACACAATGTTGGCCGAAGTAAGTTCAGGCTGGAAAAAGGTTCGAGGTGGCCAGACTAAAACATGGCATCAATGTATGGAGTCTCCGACTGTTCGTTTGAGCCATGCAGACTAGCCGGTTGGGGTCCGCTGAACAAGAGGAATCAGTGGTTTGAGACTCTAGACGATATGGCTCAGAACTGATGTCAGTAGCGCAAATGTATGCACACATTATCCTCATCTTAACGACGCTATATCGAATCCCACCACTTTCTCATTCTTCGTTTCTGTCTTTTAGTACTTTATATTTCTTTCGACTGAATTTTCTTGTGCTCGTCTTCTACTTCATTGCTTTTTTGCTTGATGTGCTGATATGAGGTATGGTAACTCGGACCGTTACGCAGTAATGCCTAGTCCTATATTGATTTTGATGAGGTGGATATGAGCAAACGGCATGAAATATGGTCTAGTGACCTAGGGCATTTTAGAAACTATAGAATTAGGTAAAATGTGCATACAGCATACAGAGTAGGCGAATTTGCGCATAGAATCCTATGCCTCATAAAAAGTATGGTAACACCTGAGGATAACTTTTAGTCTCACCTTTATAGATCTGAACATTTTTTTTTAAATTGTTGATTTCACGCCACTTTTTTTACAGCATGACTTAGTAGTTTAATTTTTGCTCCCATTCGCAATGCGATTCGTTGATTAGTTAATGCTTACTTTTAGTATGTGAGCGTCTCAATTTGCGGACAAGGTCATATGTCATGTTTATGAGGCACTTTAAAGGCCACCCTAGCAAGGACTGAAACAATCAATTAGGTTTCTTCATTTCAGTTGAAAAGGCAGATTTCCATCAAACACAGAAGCTTAATTGGTTGTTACAGCTGTTGCTAGGGTGGCCATTAAAGTCACTCCGTGTTTATGTATACTCATGTGTGTTTTGGGTTAATTGATTATTACTCTCGGATGGATAAACTCTACTATCCAGCTTCAGTCTTCTTTATTCGTCCCGGGTTGCAGTCGTTGGCTCTTGCGTAGGAAGTTAGCTGTCAGTTAAGCGTGCGTATTATATCCGCTCGGAATATATGAGAACAATGACCCACTGATCCATATCACTAAACTTATTTTGAGTTGTAAATGTTAATAAAATATCCACTAATTATTAAGATAATATCAATGATGATAACACTGTACTGAGTTCAAGTTGAATTAAAATAAGACGATAGTTAATTTGTAAATGATTAACAAATTTCATTACACGCAGCAGAGTAGTTTTCCAACTGCCCCATTGTGAGATGTCAACAAGACTCCGTTTGGGAACCACCTCGCAAACAATATCGAAAGGTGTTGATGATCTCTGATACAAAAGTATCATGAAGTGAAACATACTGCTGAAAAAATTAAGTAGTTGGAAACCACTCAGGCCGATCTGTTCAGTGTTTAGATTACTCTGATCTGACTGATGAAATCTAAAAATCAACTTGATTGATTCCTAATGGAAACTTCAGATGACTGTAAAGTGACAAACAATAATACCCAATCAAATGGTAGAAATAGTATTGTGAATATCACGTGCCTAATCTGATGTAGAAAAGTTTGGCTGTTCGACTACATGATTATGAATCTCCACCAACTTACATGATCATTTCAAGTTTAGCGTCCTATGTTAAACAACTGAGAAGGAAAAGAAATTGGTAAGGTCATATGACATTCAAAGTAATACATATCTAGTACAACACATATCTTACACAGCAGTGAATTCAGAATACACAGCAAAGATAATGTTGGTGATTTCGATCTGTACTAAACATTACACAAACAAAATCAACGCAAATTATTGCACACAAAGGCATCAGTTCAACTTGCCACAAATCAAAGCAACCAATCTTTTCGCACACCTTATCTCGATACTAGATGAAACTCAATTCACTTTATAAATTATAAATTGAAAAAAGAGATTTATCTATTTTGCATTGCAAAAACAAGAGGAGAGAAGATGGAAGCTTAGATATTAGTGTTTATAGAAAACTAACACATTTGAATAGATACCCGAGTTTCATATCATCTTACGTCATATCTGTCAAGGTAGACCAAGTAAAATGTCAAAGTAACTAGGCTAGGAAAGATAGACAGAATCAACGTAGAACTTTTCATACAGGTGAATTGGTTCAACTTGCCACACTCCACAGTAGTATACAAAGAATAAATGGATTGAAAAAGAGTTATATCAGAGTAGAAAAAGTTGTGTGAAAGAATAAACCATTTGAAAATAAGGGTTACTGCATATATCCAGGCTTTAGAAGACGTGAAAGAATGAATACATCTGCCCCACTGTAACCGACTGTCAGCCATGTCACCAAGAAACCTTAACCACTGATTCCAGACATCTAGTGGACACCCGCCAGGTAGTCTACATCTGCCAGCGCAGTTTAGAACGACAATCAGGAATTTCAGCAACTAGTCCAATGTCTCAATCTGGTCACTCTGAAACTCCTTACAACCTAACCTAACTTCACTTAGTATGACGAATCGAGGAAGCCGATGAATCACCATGTGAAATACATGTCCAAGTTACCCGTATCGAAGGTTCACAACCTCATCAATCGACTTGTCCGTATCATGATTTTAAAGTGCTGTTATAGCCACTATCGATGCACTGATCTGTACCGTTAGCCACCAACGTTTGGCAACTCAGTCAATTACCGACCCAACTAGTTTAATGGAGAAGATACAACGAATATGCAGAAAAGTTTATTTGGGCCGAAGACAGTAGATAAATAAATATATGGATAGTTAGGTGTTGAAAGGAATATTATTCACTATAAACATCCAGACCATAGTTGTTACAACTGTCCGGGAAGAACACGCTGGGATTATGTTAAAATATATTCTTATAATTAATAACATTCATTGGCTGATCGATTGCGTGTCAGTCTAACTAGATGTGATTAACACAAACTACACTTTGATTAACCTCGCCTGGTTAACTAGTTCACTAGATACTAGCCGGTTCTAAGCCCGAATAAAGAGGAAAGGTTGGGCATATAGGGCTAGCAACCCTACCCCGTAGAACCAATCCAATCTCTGATGAAACTTCAAAGCACAAATAAACTATACAAAATAAAATTAAACTTATTCCTCACTGGGATCGGAGAGACGAAATGACACCGTTTGATGAAAGCCATCGGGTAGCCAGTCGACCGATGTGTCTTTTCTCGATGGAAGCGAAAGTAGGGATGGGGACATGGAATGTCCACACCATGTATAAACCTAGCTGGCAAGGCTGCCCAGATAGCAAAAGAGATGAGAAGGTATAGCATAGAACTGCTATGAATCTGCGAAAGCAAATGTCATGGACTCTCCTAAATGTCAACTGGAGAATCAATAATTTACCCCCATATTGTCACCCAGTCGACAACCACGAGCACACTGAGTTTTCCAGTGGCTATCATGATGTCCCCCTCACAAGAGAATCGAAGGCTCTCATACAGTGGGAACCGATCTCCTCCAGGATCATGACAGCAAGGTTCAACTCAAAAGGAAGGAAAGTCACAATCATACAATGCCACGCTATGCACCCACAAATAATGCAGAGCAAGAGAAAAAGGAGGAATTCTACAGACGACTGCAATCAACACTAGACAAGACCTCAGTTGACGACATCAAAATTCTAATGGGCGACATGAATGCCAAACTGGGAGTGGAAAACACAGGAAGAGAATTAACCATGGGTCGAGAAGCGCTCGGTGGGGTGATGAACGAGAATGGAGAATTGTTTGCAGAATTCTGTGCATTCAACGATTTGGGGATTGGAGGCGAGGAACTGTGTTCAAGCACAAGGATATCCACAAGTCAGCGACATGGATTTCACCAGACACCAGGACACACCACAATAAAAATCAGATCGACTTTATCTCAATCTCAAGAAAGTGGAGACGCAGCCAGCCTACTTGACACAAGGTCAAGAAGAGGAGCAGATGTAGGTTCAGACCACTATCTAGTACAAGGAACCTACCTTTAAAATCAAGTTGAAAACCTTCAAGAAAGCTGGCGATAGACCACAATTCAAGTACAACACTCGGAAACTGAAGGACGAAACTATAAAGGACATCTTCACGGCAGCCATCAAGTCAAAATGGGAGATATCGAGCAACATCCCTGAAGAAACCTGTGTGGAGGAACACTGAAAGTTTTTGAAAGAGATGTGGAAAGAAACCTGCATAACCAAGAGTATTAGGAAGGAAGAAGAAAGAAGACAAGGAATGGATCTCAATGGATACATGGAAGCTGACAGAGGAGAGGAGGAGAGTGAAACAGAAGACAAACCAGTGCAAGGATGCACAACGAGAAGAGGAACTGAGTACAACCTATAAAACACCACATTGGACAAAGAAGTGCAGAAGTGTGCACGCAAAGACAAAATACACATCTACGAAACACTGGCAAGTGAAGCAGAACAGGTTGCCGGCTGATAGGAGAGATAGAGACCTGACAACATTGTATCAAATAACCAGGTTGCTATCTGGGAGGAGATCAACGCAGACGAAACCAATAAAAGGTGATGAAGGAAATATAATTACCAAGTACGAGAAACAAAGGAAAGGATGGGCTGACCACTTAAAAAAGCTCTTGAATCGACCACCACCTGCAATTCGTCCAGAAATACCACCTGCAGTCACAGAATTACCAGTGAAGTCCTGAGCACCATGAAGCTACTGAAATGTGGGAAAGCAGCAGGACCAGATGGAATCCCGCAAGAAGCACTGGAAACAGACGCAGAGACAACAGCAGACATGCTCACACCACTATTGCAGAAGGTTTGCAAGGAAGGAAAGGAAGGTACCTGACCATTGGAAGAAGGGCTACCTTGTCAAACTCCCAAAGAAGGGAGACCTCAATGTTTGCAAGAAATGGCGTGGAATCACTCTCCTGTCCACCCACAGCAAGCAAAATATTAAGCCGCATCATCCTGGAGAGACTAAAAGATGCACTGGATTCAAAACTATGACCCGAACAGGCTGCATTCAGGAAGTACAAATCATGTGCCGACCAAATTGCAACACTTCGCATCATCATAGAACAGAGCATAGAATGGCAGTCAACTCAACTCTACCTCAACTTCATGGACTTTGAGAAGGCCTCTGACAGCGTCGACCGAGAGGTAATTTGGAAACTGCTTCAATACTACGGAGTACAGCAAACCTTTATCAGCCTCATTCAACAACTATATGAAGATGCCACATGCCAAGTAATTCACAATGGAAAGCTCAGTGATACTTTTGAAGTGAAGACAGGAGTGAAACAAGGTTGTCTACTATCCCCCATGATATTCCTGATTGTGGTCAACTGGATCATGCAACAAACAGTGAGAAGCGAGAAGAGGGGGATACGCTGGCTGGACTGCGGAAAAGAACCTAGAAGACTTGGATTTCGCCGATAACTTGTGTCTGATGTCACATAAACTTGAAGATCTGCAGGCAAAAACTAACAAGTTGGTAGAAGAGGCAGCGAAGACGGGACTTCAAGTGAATATAGAGAAGACAGAGGTGATGAAGATACACAACCAACGCCACTACCACCACCAACAAACTCCATCACCATCAATGGGAGAAACTTAAGGGAAGTAGCTTCCTTCACCTATCTAGGAAGCACTAATTCAACTACAGGCGGCACAGACGAGGATGTCAAAGTCAGAATCAGAAAAGCAAGACAGGCGTTCATTAGCCTGAAACCAGTGTGGAAATCTTCTACACTGCATTCAGCATGTGGAACAACATCCGGATTTTCAACACCAACGTCAAGTCAGTGTTTCTGTATGGCTCAGAGACTTGGCGCGTCACGAAGGAGATTTCCAATAAACTACAGACATTCATCAAAAACTGCCTATGCTCACTCGTTACTGAAGATCAGATGGTCAGAATAATAAGAATAAGCAACAAGGAACTTTGGCCTGCTAACGAACCAACCAAGAACCCATCGCTCAACAAATATTCAGAAGAAAGTGGAGATGGATTGGGCATACACTAAGAAGGCCGACTGGGGACATCATGCACGAGGCCCTCGAGTGGAACCCTGATGGGAAGCGACGAATTGGGTGTCCGAGGGTGACATGGAGGAGATCGTGTGATGAGGAAATGAGAGCTTGTGGGCTGTCATGGAGCCAGGTTCAAAAGATTTCAGAGAACAGTGCGCATTGGAGACGTGCTACTGAAGCGGTATGTTCCATTAAGAACCCAAGGGACAAATAATCATAATAATACATTTTGATTGGTCGGTCTATTTCCAGACTAGTCCTATCTCTCTGTCCACTTATCAGCTTGCCCTTCATCTGACCTCAACATTGCTCATCCGATAATCCCAACAAGCGTGAGCAGTGATACGAAGACAGCTGTAATCAAAAACCTGAAACCGCTTTGTATCTTCCACTTTAAACATCTGAAGTCATAAAACTAAGCCATAAGGAATTTCACCCCAAGGCCTTCACTACTAGTATTTACATGTACAAACACAATCATGAGGCAATATAGCTTTGATTGTAGGGCGAACCACGTATATCACATCAATTCTGAGAAAATAAACAATGATTACCTACCTTCATCAATTTATCAGTTGGATTTTTAGTCTTTAAAATTGTAGGTTGAATATAATAGCCAACACCATCATCACCATGACCACCAGCAACAACTTCAATATCTGGAGAACTGGAAGCATATTGTAGATAATCGGAGATTTTATTGAATGCCTAAAACCATCAAATAAACAGTTATTCTACACGTTAACAACAAACTGATAACATTGTAAAAATTAATGAAAATATGAAGAAATGTTATCAATTTTCAATTGTCCACTTGGAAAGGAACAGGATTTAATCAAAGAATAATAAGATTAGTGAGGTCCATTATTTTTGAGATAAACTAGAAGTATGATGTCGCTTGTATTATCCCGTCGTTGAGTGGACCGAATTGATCGGTCTCTACTGGCATATATGCTCCTGCGTAGATGCTTCGATATTGCCTGCGTTTGAACGATTTATTAATGATGAGTAGTGGCTAGCAGTGGGATCCAGGACGCACGTCCCGTCCTATTCTGGACTCCTCAGTTGGATGTGCCAGCCTCCCAGTGAGCGCCGTTGTTCCTGCTGGGACTCGAACTCGGGACCGATCACTTCAAACGCCACAGTGTTATCCACTAGACCATCCATCATTAATTTATCATTCAAACACAGGCAATATCGAAGCATCAGCATAGGAGCCCATAAGCCAATGGAGACTGATCAATTCGGTCCACTCAACTACGGGATAGTACAGACAATAATATTAAAACTATACCCGTCGCAAAAGAAGTGACCGTCGTGACTCGGTGGTCTAGTGGACAACGCTCTCATATCTGAGGCGATCGGTCTCGAGTCCTAGCGGGGACAACACCGCTCGCTGGGGAGCAGGTACACCCAGCTGACGAGTCCCAAATAGGAAGAAACGCGCGTCTTGAATTCCACTGCTAGCCACTATCAATCATTAATTGGAAGTATGGTTCAGAAAAAAGTAGATTACAAGTGAATGATACACACTTGAAGATGGTTTTTCTCTAGGATGATAAAATCGGTTTAAGAACCAGAAAGACATCAACCTAAGCATTGTGATAAAGTATAGTTTCATATTGGATTAGTTTATTCGATAGAGCACAGTCACACAGGATTGATAGGATTATGAACAATAAACTGTGGTTGAAATATGATCTACTAAATAACAATACTTTATCACTGTTACATCAAATAAACTAATTTCATATTGAAGACATCATAAATAACATGTTCCATTGTGATTCGATTCTGCTGAGTAGCACAATCCCTTCTGAGATGCATTTTATTACATTCATACGGCAATCGTTTGGAATTTATTGATCAACAGTTTTTAATTACATGATAATGGATATCGATTGTCAGCCACTAACATTCTACAAATTCCTAGTTGATGCCCAACCGGACTAATTAATGGAGAAGACACGATGGACGTGTAGGAACGCGTACTGGGGTCGAGAGATCGAAGACCAAAACAAAGGAAAATATATCTAATATATAGATAGTTCGCTGTTTAAAATAATAATGATTGGCTGATCCATCGTCTGTCTGTCTGTTTAACTATAGAGGCGATAACGTAAAGTACATTTCGATTGGTCCCTTTCCAGACTAATCATTTCTCTCTATACTGGGTGATGAATGAAGTTGAAATGAACATTTGGACCGCGGACAGACTCAAACCAGAGACCACTGTATCGCTTCTCTCTTCGAAAGAATGTTATTTGAGGCCATACTCTACCTATCTGACTGACACAGATTGAGTTTCTCCTTGTTTACCGGGAGATTAGTAGTCTTCTCGATGTTCTTTCGGTGGGTAGGTACATGAGCATGAAAATCAGCTATCAAAGCAAGTGATTTAACTTCTGATCAAGAGTAAGATGCACAGTTGTATCTGAAGGATGACCTTTGTACACATCGTTGTGTGTGGGGGGAGAATACCGTCCTTATGGTCCCTAGCATTACAGTCTTGGCATCGATGTTGTTTATGTGGACAAGATTTGACGAAATGCTAGGCACCATAATGCTAGCAAGGCGATGGAGGTGTTTTCTTCGAGGGTAGGTTGGTATCGCATGAGTTATTGGCCCGATGAACAGGCGAGATAAGGCCTACGAGTGTGTGGCCAGAGAATGATGCGGAAGAATGAGACATCTAGTGAAATGTACGTACTTCAGAACCACCGTGGCGTCCGGATTGGACTTAACTCGTATCATGCTGGAGGTTGTCCAGTCGTTGATATTCTGCAGACATGTTATTTAGTGTCTGAACTATGGAGACGAAAGTGCGATCAGGTGGGTTCTGAGACGAAATCATGTTGCGGTATTGGCGGAGCTCAGATGGACCAAGTTTCCAAGGTAGGAAACATACCTTCCAGGAATCATCTTGGCCATCAAAATCCACTTTGAAGTGGGCTTCGTAACGCTTGAACCAATTACCGTAAGTGTCATTGGCATCAGGATCGTAGTGAAATCCAGTGATGCTACTGGTGATGCTATCAACTGAAGGAGCTATTAAAATTGGCATAGTAGGCGATGACTCAGTACCATAAATTTTGGATTGAGTTATGATCTCAATATTCCCCATTTGCCGTTCGAGGAAAGTGTCCAGCTTCGAAGAGTTCATTTCCCAATATTGCATCTCCCTCACCAACTGTTTATGATTCGAAAACTGCTATGACTATTAACAATGCACGGATATCGACTGTCAGCCACCGACATTCAACACGAACCCATGGATCCAATAGCTGAAAGTCAGATACTTATATTACGTAGCCAAAAGCTCAGTAATCTACTAGAATTTCATCCTCAGTAATATTGTTTCCATGGCTTACAAGTCGCAGTTGAAAATCAACATGGGCTAACACACTAAAAGAAATCAAATAACTGTTTCTCGAGAGAATTCATACAATTTTTCCGTCTAATAAATTTGAAAAAAAGAAAGAAAAACAATAGTATCAGAATTAGCATGAATATATTGCATTTCATGGATTCTTCTCAGCTGCTCAACAACTTATAGAAAATATAATGTTTATGACAAAATAAACATGTTATACAAAGTATTTTCATAAACCTACAAGAACGTTTCCATACTTATTAAGTGGCAGGAGGAACATTCTGGAGAATATACCAAAAGAAAATTAGGAGTGGGCTATACACCATGTTACTCTAGAACTGATAAAAATGACACAACGCTTAAGGTAAGTGCTATAAAAAGTCAACACTATATGGAGGTTTGCGAGGATTTATTTGAGGAACCAGTGGTTGGAGACTCTAGGTGATATGGCTCAGAACCGATGTCAGTGGCGCAGATGTATACACACATTATCCTCATCTCAACAACGCTATACCGAATCTCACCATTTTGTCACTCCTCTTTCCTTTCTTCTGATACTTTATATTTCTTTTGACTGCATTCACTTATCTTCATCCTTCACCTCACTACCTTTCTACTTGATGTGCTGATATGAGGTGTGGCAACTCGGACCGTGAGACAGTAATGCCTGGTCCTATGTTGATAATGATGATGATGATGAGGAGGAGGATTTATTTATTTATTTCAGGTTGGTATTCATCATGTGCAAAATATTAAGCCGTGTCATTCTGGAGAGAATAAAAAATGCTCTGGATTCAAAACTACGGCCGCAACAAGCTGGCTGGCTGGTTTCAGGAATAAAAAATCGGGTTCGGATCAAATTACAACGCTACGCATCATCATGGAACAAAGTATAGGATGGTAGTCAACTCTCTACCTCAACTTCATCAACTTTGAAAAGAAATTCGATAGCATCGATCGAGAAGTAATTTGGCAGTTGCTTGAAAACTACACTTTTAGTGCCAAAAACATTTATCAACCTCATTCAACATCAGCTATATGCTACATGATACTACATGCTACGTGCCAAGTGATTCACAATGGAAAGCAGCTCAGTGACGCCTTTGAAGTGAAGATAGGATGGAAAGAGACAAGGTTGTCACCTACTATCACCGATCACCTTCCTGATTGTGGTGGACTGGACTGCACTGGATCATGCAGCAAATGGTGAGCAGCGAGAAGAGGGGCATAGACTGATTGACCGATGGGAAGGACCCAGAAGAAGATTTGGATTTCGCCGATGATGATTTGTATCTGTCTTGTGTCTCACAAACTCGAAGATCTACAGGCAAAAACTAACAACTTGGCAGAACAGGCGAGACAGCCAAAGAAGACGGGACTTCCTTCATATGAACTTACGTAGAGAAGACAGGGGTAGTGAAGATGCCCAATCATCATCATCAACAGCAACAACAACAACAACAAGCACCAATCACCATCAACAGGAGAAATCTGAAAGAAGTTGTTTCTCTCACCTGCCTGCCTACCTACCTACCTACCTAGACAGCATCGTTTCAACTACAGGCGTCACAGGCACAGATGAGAATGTGAAAGCAGCCAGGATTGGAAAGACAGTAAGACAGGCCTTCCTTCGTCAGTTTGAAATCAGTGTGGAGATCTACCACACCGCAATGCACTGAACTCAGGATGAAGCGTGAACAACATCCGGATTTTCAACACTAAGTCAGTCAAATGAGTCAGTGCTTCTATGTGATGGTTGAGAGACTCGGCACGTCACAAAAAGCATTTCCAACAAACTACACACATACATCACATGAACAGCTGCCTACGCTCACTCGATACTGAAGATGAGGTGGCCAGAAGGAATAAGTAGCAAGGAACTCTGGGAACGAACCAACCAAGAACCCATCGCTCAACAAATATGCAGAAGAAGAAAAGAGTGGAGATTGATTGGACTGGGCATACACTGAGAAGACCGTCTGGCGACATCACGCGTCAGGTCAGGTCGTCGAGTGGAGTTCCTAGGGGAAACGACTAGTTGGGTGTCTGAGGGTGACATGGAAGAGATCGTGTGAGGAAGAAATGAAAGCTTCTGGGCAGTCCTGGAGCCAGGTTGAAAAGACTGCAGAGAACCGAGTGGAATGGCGACGTGCTAGTGAAGCCCTATGGTCCACTAGGGATAAATAATAATAATTCATAATGCACTGACATCAATTAGAACATGAGGACAGTTGTTCAGTGACAGCATAAGATTGGGGTCACGCTAAATTTGGAACTGATAAAAGTAGGAAATATGAACCATTGGATTCCGACCAAGTAGCTGAATGGTAACGTGCCAACAGCGGCACTTGAAGATTCTGGGCTCGAATCATGGCAAGGTCATGGGTGCGCAATGCTTAGCAGTCCCATACTATGACGAAACAGTGGCTCATCAGTGCTCCCAGATTTCCAATATTTCTACAACTGATGTCTGTCTTTGAAGAATATCAACAAGGAGTCAAAACGTTAACAGCTTTTTAACCAGATTGAGTAATAACATGAATACAACTCAGAAAGTGAGAGTAGGTTTTGAAATAGAACAAAAGATAACATGAAAAAGAAAAAAAAGAGCAGAACAGAGGGCCATGAGATCTTGTACTCACGAATTTACACGATTTAAATTACCAAGATACAACAAGATTGAATACGTAGACCAAGTTTCAGTCTTCTAATTGCAACCGCTTTAACAAAGTGTAAGAGATTAGGTTTTAGATGTGTTATTGACCACTTTAAACGACTTTATATCCAGTATCAAGTGATTGCTGAATGATTCGGTTATTCAAACCCTATGAACCCTTTTAAGACTCAAATTCTTCGAGATATATTCAGGAATGTGGAAAAGAAGTCTTCTCTCTGTTATTCCAATGTATTTGCTTTGTCACGCACATGTGAATCGGCAAGTACCGTTGGAGGTGACAAGGGTTGGCAACTTGTTCGATTGGGGTTGTGTCAATGAACATTAAGTTTGATACACACAGACTATGTTGGCAGCTGGATAGGTTTTTATCAGTACAGTATTCAGTCTATGGTCCATCCGTGTGGTGATTTCATTCCCCTTTCAAGGCAAGGTGTAGGTAGACGAACTTCTTGTCAGTTGTACTGCACTTGATTCTCTTTGTTTCTGTCCTACTGTACCTAACAATGAACTTTTGTGGGTAATTATTTTCGTGCAGGCGGTGTTTGACTAAGGTCAGGTCTTCTTCAATCTTTTCTTCAGAGCACAATTTATGCGTATGGTTGAGAAGTGTTCTTATCAGATACCCTTTTGTAACTGATAAGGCCAAAGCCTCTGAAGTTTTAAATAAAGCCCACTCTACGTGTGAATCCGATGAATTTATTTATGAATATTTCTATCTGTATGACTTTGTAAGCTGAGGTCTAGAGAGTGAAACTTGTTGTCGCGTTCAGTTTCCATTGTGAAAGCTATATTGCGATGCACTTTATTAAAAAGATCCAGTAAGTGAGAGATATGTTCACTATAATCGGATATAACAAATGTATAGTCAACGTACCTTGCGTAGAACAGTGTTTAGTTGATTGGATGTTTCGGTTTTGTCTCTTCCAGATACCATATGAAGATATCAGCGAGGACTGGGCCGAAGAGCAACTCCATCGATTTGACGGTATGAGACGTTATTGAATTGAAACGATACTTTTGTACACATCAGTAAAAAACTGTTTGAATTCATATTTTGTTAGCGGAAGTAGGTCTTGTTACTGATATCTACTGTCTCTTCCAGGGGTATATCAGAAGAAAAACCATGAATTTCTGAGAGATATTAAAATTTTCCAGCATTTTCGCTAACTTGAAGGTATTTTTCAGACTGTGAACGGCCATTTTTGGTGCATATGCTCTAAGCGTTTTACTAACCATCAGGCCAGCTTGTGAAATTGTGAGTTAACCATTGAGAGTATTGGTCTCATAGGAATATTAGCTTTGTGCACTTCCGGTAGACCATACAACTACGATAATCGGGATCTATGAGGGTTTAACCCATCATCGGTTGCTACGTCTATTCACTTCATCTTTAGAAGTTGTTTCAACTTTTTTGTAACCCATCTTTCTGTTGACCCAAACATCTAACAACTTTGATGAGTCATCTAGGATTGACAATATTTTGTTCACGTGTTTTTCTCTGTTCATTATGCCAACACCATAATCCTTGTCCGGTCAAAGAATCATGATATCTTCATTATTCGACGCTGTTTGGTGATTCTTCGATAAAACTTCAGATAGCGAAAATCGTGATATGATGCATTGATTAACAATATCAACGAGCCGAGATTTAAACCAACCTTGTTTTTTCTTATCTGTTCGTATAGATTCTCGAACTACGTCTCTGTAAATATTCTGCTGTAGCGTTTCTTAGGGATCTGAAATTTGAATCCAAATGAAAGCGCTTCCTCTTCGACTTGGTTCAATTTTCAGGTGGATAGGTTGTGAATGTACTTCTCAGGATTTATAAGAATAATATCAGATAATTGTTCTTTGACAAGATTTCTGGATCAGGGTTTACTCAAAACTTTTGCAAATTTTCAACTGAACTTCTTGAATGAAATTCATAAATTTCAGCTCCATTTTAGTCTGTTTATTAAAATTACAATCGACCACAGTGCTCAAGTTTTATTTTTTTTATTCATAAATTTCAGTCTGCAAATAAGATTCGAATTTCTGACGACAATATCGAAAAGGGTGGCTTCAGATCACAGTTTCAAATGAAGATTTTTCGTTTGGTCTATCTGAGATTAGGCGACACGTTGGAAATCCTGGTGATTAGGAGGAAGTTCGCATGTGTGCACAACCTTTAAAAACTGACGACAAAATAACACATAGTCAAGGATTGCTGGAAGAAATCCAACTTCGTCGATTCTCTTAAAACAATTCTGTCTTTTCATGAATTTGAATAACGCAAGAATAACAATGGTGGTAGAATTAGCATGCATTTATTCCGTGGATTCTCCTCAGTTACCTCACAACCTATAGAATACAATGTCTATGCTTTCAATGAGGATGAAATCACCACACGGATGGACCATAGACCGAATACTGTACTGATAAAAACCTATCCAGCTGCCAACATAGTCTGTGTGTATCAAACTTAATGTTCATTGAGACAACCCCAATCGAACAAGTTGCCAACCCTTGTCACCTCCAACGGTACTTGCCGATTCACATGTGCATGACAAAGCACATACATTGGAATAACAGAGAGAAGACTTCTTTTCCACATTCCTGAATATATCTCGAAGAATTTGAGTCTTAAAAGGGTTCATAGGGTTTGAATAACCGAATCATTCAGCAATCACTTGTTACTGGGTATAAAGTCGACGTATTAAAGTCGTTTAAAGTGGTCAATAACACATCTAAAACCTAATCTCTTACACTTTGTTAAAGCGGTTGCAATTAGAAGACTGAAACTTGGTCTACGTATTCAATCTTGTTGTATCTTAGTAATTTAAATCGTGTAAATTCGTGAATACAAGATCTCATGGCCCTCTGTTCTGTTCTTTTTTTTCTTTTTCATGTTATCTTTTGTTCTATTTCAAAACCTACTCTCACTTTCTGAGTTGTATTCATGTATTGCTCAATATGGTGAAAATATGAACGACTCTAAAAGCTACTTTAGCAACTACTGAAATAACCAATCAAGTTTCAGTATTCTGGACCAGAAAGGTAGTTTCGTATAAAATAAAGGAACTCAATTGATTGTCTCAATGGTTGATCGAGTGGCCTTCAAAGTCACCCTGGAAATTTTGTTAACGTTTTATTACACTTACCCTAACCATGATATCATTTTATCAATTCTGAATTAACACTATATGTATATATGGATTATTTTTCAATCCAGTATATAGGAAATGATAAAAAGGAGCATAAAGAAGGATTTGAAGAAATTATTAGCATATTATAGGCTCAAAATGTTAGTCTAAAGATCACACTATAGACGGAAAGAGAAGGAGAATCCATTAATCACCTCTGATTTAAAGGATTAAGTTAGCAAGAGAAATTTACTGTCATAACAAATTGCTATTGAATACACAAAAGAGGTCTAAATTTCTTTATGGCAGGAGTTTCAAGAAAACTAAGTATGTGCCATAAATACGATTATAAATAGGTTCAAAAGACGTGTACAAATCAACTTAGTGACTAGTATCATCGATATGTTCAGCCATATAAGAAGTTGGATGAATGGGATCATTCAATTTAGCTCGTTGTTGCAGCCATTTTTACTTGTACTCTATGGTTCTTACTTGAATAGGTTGATGAGTCCTATCTAGGTTTGTATGACTAGAAGTGCATACAAACTGACAAACATCCACCATTCAAATGTTGCTAGGGTTTACAAGAGTACATCAGTTCGCTGCATAGTATGTTCTTCGAATGACTGCTTTAAGTCTTTATTTAGTGGTCAGATTTTGTGAATCACCACCCATAATACGGTTGTACGATATACATATCCCTTACTGAAACTGACTGAACAATGAATCTTCTTTTCTTGGCATTTCTACTCCAAGTAGTAAATTTCACAGGATAATAGATCACATGTTATGTTGTCGAAGAAGACATAAAGTCTACTTCAGCAGTCATAGGTTGGTTAGCATTAACCGTTTAAATGTGTTTGTACTTTCACAAACTGAATAAATAAATAATGGCTAGTAGTGAAATTCAGAACGCGCATCTCCTCCTGTTTGGAACTCGTCAGGAGGATGTAGCTGCCTGTCAATGAGTGATGTTGTTCCCACCAGGACTCGAACCCGGAACTGATCATTTTAAACGTCAGACCACTGAGTCCCGATAGCCACCTCTTGTACAATGAGTATAGTATAGTCTTTGATGTCATAGCTTTTGAATCTCTATCGTTGATTGGATCGAAATGATCAGCCACCGTTGACATATGAGTTTCTGTGACGAAGTCTCAATGTTGCCAGCATTTTTCAAATCCACTGCTAACCACTGATATGATAAATATTACTTTAGAAATAGAATCCTCATAAACTTTAAAACTTACGTTTTTGTCAATAACAGCGGATGTAAATGTGTCTGACTCGAGAGGTGAACCAACTTTTAATTGTTTATAATGATCAAGTAAGAGATTTTTAAATCTTGGCCATAAACTTTCTGGTACATAGAGACGACTGCATGCGCTACATTTCTGTCCAGAATATTCAAATGAACTACGAATAGTGCCTAGGGCAGCTTCTTCCAAATTAGCAGATGGATGAATAAAGTGATAGTTTTTTCCACCACACTCTAAAATTAAAAACACAATAAAACAATTCAATTAAAGAATAGTAACTATAAATTATCTGAGACAGCCGAGGTTTGGTAGACTAGTATTTATTCTGGGTAGTGATTGATAGTCAAATTGATAATCAATATGATACTCCACGTGTGTAATTCACTCAGATTTGGATTTGGATGAAAAGTCCGGACTAGTAGGCAGCCAGTGTGAGTACGATCAAGCGGTAGTACTGCATCATGAATTCACATGATAATCGGATGAAACCCTCGATAATTGAAGTGAAATAAAAACCTGGTCAGCAGTCGGACCTCGTAGGTGAGTTGATAGAGCATCGAACAGGTAACCTGTTGATCGTTGGCTCGAATCCAGCCGCGGTCCAAATTTTCATTTCACTCTCAATCATATATATATATATATATATATATATATATATATGGTGATTTTATGCTGCAAACAAATGCCAAACCATTGACGCAGAAAAATTATTACTAAAGGTAATAAGATCACTTAGCCGATACGTAAATAATCGTTATATCTAAGGAAAATGAAATAGAAAGTACTAAAAGACGACTGTAATTATCTATACATATCTTACTCAGTCCATTAAAAAATTCTCTAGAACTGATGCAATATCCAAGAGACTAGACACAAGAATCAAATGAGCTCTCAGAATGAGCTTTCTTGCAGCTAAACTTGTATCAGTATACACTAACACATGCCCACTGAATCCTGTTCATATAACCTTCAACTATATTTATGAATTCATATCTACATGTAGTAGCAAGTATATTAAAAGGATTGAAAGAAGGATATCCATTCCAGTTCTCTGAACACTTCCCCAAAAATGTATGCTTGAAAGGAAATGCAATGTCCAGACAAATCATAGACACAGAACATCAAGTTGATAGCTCAAGTGCTTTTAAAATAAGAAACGTATGAAGACTGACTGGTTAACTGTGCTTCATGGAAGAGATTGCAATAAAACACTTTTAACCTGACCTTTGTATACAGAAGGAGAGTGTGGTTATTCTTTTACTCCCTTGGGGACTATAATTAGATCCTACTTCGTTTTAATTACATAAATTTTTATTTATTTATTATTATTTCTCCTTTCTTAAACTTTTTACCGCTGTATAGTGAATTCTCTTACAGCTTATCCATCCATCCATCCATCCAAGTCAACACAGGACCAGGCATTACTACGTAACGGTCCGAGTTGCCACATCTTATATCAATACATCTAGTAAAAAGGCAGTGAAGTGGAAGGTGAAAAGAAAATTCAGTCAAAAGAAATATAAAGTACTAAGAGAGAGAAATGACGAATGAGAAAATGATGAAGTTCGATATAGAATTCAGATGAAGATAACGTGTGTATACATCTACACCACTGACATCGGTCCTGAGCCATATCACCTAGAGTCTCCAACCACTGGTTTCACTTCTCCATCGGACCTCAACCGGCTAATCTGCATTGCCCAACATAACTCTTACATCTTATATGGATAATTAATGATTTTGCTGTATAAGTTAAGATTATTTATTTCCTAATTTTAAATTATCCTATGGGCTAATAACATCACTGTACTTTTAGGATGCATGCAGCTGAGGAGTACTCATGACATCATGAGAGATGACATGAAATTTAATTCACAACCAATATTAGTGACGTCTAATGGTCCCTATCTAAACACATATTTATTGATCAAATGTTATCCGATAAAAAATATTGATCGCTGAACTCAATGGTTAACTTCAGTGATTATCTACTCAACACAACTGATTAATTGATCAACTGTTTGTTTTTCTCATTAGTAAAAAAGTTATCAGCATGAAAGATTGTAAAGATAGAAGCGTGATAAAAAACTATTTCCACAAGTCCACTACATGATGTACTAATAGTTAACGTAACAAAAAGGTCATATTAGACTGAAGAAGATTAGAATGTATAGCGAGCTACAAAAAAAAATAGTTGGTGATGTAAAGAAACAAATTAACGTACAAATCTTTAAAATCTTATTAGAAAATTAGCGTACTGAGGACTAACTAGTGTAACGCTTAAACAGTGGTACATCCATCCATCCATCCAGATCAACCTAGGACCAGGCATTACTGCGAAACGGTAAGAGTTGCCACACCTCATATAAAGTACGAAAACAGAGAAACGAAGAATGAGAAAGTGGTGAGATTCGGTATAGCATTGTTAAGATGAGGATAATGTACACTTACATCTATGCCACTGACATCCGTTCTCAAACATATCACCCAGAGCCTCCAACCACTGGTTACTCTTGTTCCCCTGACCACAACCACATAGTCTGCATAGCCCTACATCGCTCAAACCAACTGTCAGAGACTTCACACATTGGTGCCATGTTTTACTCTGGCCACCTCAAGCCTTTTTCTAGCCTGGTCCTACTTCAGCCAACATTGTGTGATGAGGCAATCGGCAACTAGGCATACGTAACACGTCTCCCAACCAACCATCTCCGTCGATGAAGGTTCACATACTCGTCAACCGACCTACCTCTTCTCCCTTAAACTCTACACCTAACTTCTGCGTTACTCACATGGTGACACCACGCAATACAGCCTATACTACGAACGCAACGGTGGTCAAACACTTGAAGCCAGCCTCCTCATATCTTCCACCTTCAATGGTGGCCATGTTTCACAGCCATACAGTACAACACAGCAGACTGATGTGCAGTACACGCAAACCTTAGGAGACAAATGAATATCACGTCGGCGCCATAGCTGGCCTAAATTGGCAACAGCCAATCGAGCCTTTTATACCCGTGCACAGATTTCATCGGCCACCACCATCGTCCCACCAGGGACGATCCTAATTCCCAGATAAGTGAAATGCTCAACACACTCAACCACGACACTCACTCTCTATTGTTAGCCGTGGCACCACCGAAGACCAATCCTGCAGCAGTAATTTGCATTTGGGTGGTGAGAAACGCATCCCAAACATTCTCAAATCCCCACTCAGAGTGTTCAGAAGACTCTGCATCTTGTCAGCGTCTTCACCCAACAGGACTATGTCATCTGCATATTCTACGTCTAACGAGAATTCTCCACCGATTATGTCAACCTCTTGGTAATTAGGTGACGAGATGGAGACCTCCATAAGAATATCTGTGACAAAACTGAATAAAAATAGAGACAGTGGGCACCCTTGACGGACACCAATCGATGAGTACAGCTCACCTGACATCTTATCATAGGCTCTTACACACTCACGAGTAGAGAGCCTTCAATAAAGTGATGTACTTACTAGGCACGCCTTTCAGTGACAGACATTGCCATACGACTTCTCGATCAATCGAGTCGAATGCCACCTTCAGGTCGAGAAATACAGCCAGTATCGGGCATCGGTAAGCGTGTCTGTGTTCCAAAACGTGGCGCAGTGTGAATATTTGGTCGATACACCCATGGCCAGGTCTAAAGCCTGCCTGCCTGTCTGTCTGGTTTTCTCGGGTTCGTTGTTCCCAAACTCCAATCAGGCGTTGAAGAATTATAGAACCTAGAATCTTAGACACTTTGTTCGTCAGGCTGATTCCTCCGCGGTTATCACAAGAGGACTTCTTGCCTTTCTTGAAGACTGGGATAGTCAGTGACTTAGACCAGTCAGAGGGGATCGTATTTGATTCCCATACACTGGTTAACACTTCTGTTAACCTGACTAAGAGCACTCTACCACCATTCTTGTATACCTCAGCAGGTAGTCCAACTGGTCCTGCTGCCCTTCCTCGTTTCAGGTTACCTACCGCTTTCTCAACTTCTCCTAGTGGTACACTAATAATAATTCGACTATATGAGTGACCGAAAAGGAAACATAACTCGTTGAAATAAAATATGAATTACAAACAGTCAACTTGATAGTTAATTACCTTCTAAAAGAATTAATGAAGATAAAATTATTATTTTGACTATCTGAGATAATCGTGGTTTGGCAGACTAGTATTAGATACTGGATGATGGTTGAAGGTGGAATGAAAATCTGGACCACGGTCGGATTCTAACCAGTAACCATCTGGTTTCCGCCCCGATGTTCTACCAACTGAGCTACTACTAAGGTCAACTGCTGACCAGGTTTTTATTTCACTCCAATCATCAAAGGTTTCACCCAACTATCATGTGAATTCGTGACACATTACTATCACTTGATCGTATTCACACTGACTGCCTACTAGTCCGGACTTTTCATCCAAATCCAAATCTGAGTGAATTACACACGTGGAGTATCATATTGATTATCATTTTGACTATCTGAGACTTGTATTTATCAAATCAAATACTCATGATTACGGATACATGATATGTATATATTATAGTATAAATTACTAACAAACTCCTTACATTTAATGTATCAATACAACTTATTTAAGTAAAAGTAAAACAATACTTTGGGAGCGAAAATAATCCAAAATCTGTTTATATTTCGGGGTTTGTGGGGACTTGCTGACTTTTTGAAATTGGTATTCATCATACACTGACATCAGTTGGAGGAACATCTGAAACCTTGGAGTTGGAAATATGAACCAGTGGCTCAATGATAACGTGCTGACCACGGGATCTGAAGGTCCTGGGCTCGGTCGTTGGTGGTGCAGTGATGGCTGAGCACTATTGAGGAGCCCCATACTAGGATGAAACAACTGTCCAGTGCTACAACCTTTTCAGTGTTCCTCCAACTGGTGTCAGTCCATGATGAATACCAACTTGAAAAGTCATTAAATCCCCACAAACCCCCAAATTCAATTGACCTAGTACTCATTGATGACTAGTTTCGAGAAGTTATTCCTGAAGTTCCAATGAAAAGTCGTGACCGGTGGGTCGAACCTGGTGGTTATGAGGATAAATACTCAACGATGATATTGGGTGCTGATTGTGCTATGTCTTGAACTGACAGAAGTTAGAAATATGAATCATCGGATTCCGACCCAGTGGCTAGCTCAATGGTGACGTGTTGGGTACGAGACCTGAAGGTCCTGGGCTCGATCCCTGGTGGGGTCATGGGTGCGCAATGCGGAGGAGTCCCATACTAGGATGAAACAGCTGTCCAGTGCTCCCACCTTTCCAATCCCCCTCCAACTGATGTCAGTCCATGATGAATGCCAACTTTAGAAAATCTGTTTGTACACACTGGTATACACTGTTACGATTCAATTCATGCATTCCAGAAAGCTAATTAAGAGTAGAAATTATTATGAAGCTACTTCGTATTACTTTTAGCCTTTTCTGACGTCGAATGAAGAATTTTTAAGCTTTACAGTGAAGATAGATATTTGTCAACGGTATTGGGCAACACCAGAGCTACATACAAATAAAGCAACTGAAAGTTTTCAGTGATTCATAAACTTTGCAAAACAAATTAATTTCAAAATATAGTTTGAATCATACTGCCATCGCACAAAATTTTAACAAACTCACGATCACTTGAATATTTGTAAATATTCTTAGATCACGAAAAGAATTTTTCATTCGAAGTATAACCCATTGCTGAGCTTGCCAGTGGTAGACACTTGTCACCATCTACACTGAACAACATGAGCAGCCACACGCCTGACCTCCTAGGGATTGATCTTATCAGAAGAGAATCCTTGGTAGGTCTAGCGTGCACATATGACACAGTCCTCTTAGGTGAAGACTGACAAAATGCAGAGTATTCTGGACACTGAGAATGTTTGGGATGCGTGTTTCGCCACTCAAATACAAAATGCTGCTCCAGGACTGGCCTTCGGAGATAACCCCGCTGATAACAGGGAGTGAAATATTTCAGCACATTGAACATGTCACTTACCTGAGAATTCAGATCAGCACTTGTAGACCAGTGGCCGACGAAATCTCTGCATAAAAGGCTCGATTGACTTTTATCAACTTACGCTATCTGTGGAGTCGCTGCAATATCCGATTGTCGCTTAAGTGTTGAGTGTACTGCACAACAGTTCAGTCCGTTCTACAGTATGAGTGTGAAATATGGTCAGTAAAGGTAGAGGAGATGAGAAGGCTTCAGGCATTTGACCACCATCGCAATGTCATTTTAATTAACTCTGGTTGACTACTTTGACTTCACAATCACTGCAAAGGATTTGGTAAACCAAATTACTTCGCTTAATTCCATCAATAGGATCTTTCAACCTACAAAGCCTGTTTTTAAGCGAGTTTTTTGGTTTAAACATCACTCTATCTCAAGGTTTTAGATTTACCTGATATGAATATAGACAATAAATTATGTCAGAAACGTTATCCAGTAAATGCTACTATCCCACTGGGTGATAAATCCAATAAACAGACTAAGATGGAATTACAGTTTACCGTAGTGCCCAAGTTTTACTCCAACATTAACATTTTGCCCCTTGAACAAGTCTACTTTGATATGGAGATTTAACATGTATGTATGCATGCAAAGAAAAGTTATATGAATTTCATTGGGAAGTATATTACAAAGATAAATTAAAAACCTACCACCAATAGTGCGTGGATATCCACAATATTTATCCACATTGTTGCCGATTGTTTTCAAAATCGAACGAAATGTCCTACACAACACAAATCACATTCTTTTAGAAAATGAAAATAGTCAATTGTTAGAAAGACAGAAAAAATATAATCCCACAGATCAAAGCAGTGAACAATTTTTCGCAAAAAAAACTGCTAAACCGTTTACTGCATTGCTATAAAAACGCATATGCCATAAGTGGATCGTGTTGACCAGTTTAAGAACTTGAAAAATCAACCAAACAATCAACCTTTAAGAATAACGGCAAGTGTTTATCTGATATGGTCAAATAGTGACATAGTTACGTTATTAATGATGGGCAGTGGCTAACAGTGGAATCCAGGAGGCGCGTTCCGTCCCACTTAGGACTCGTCAGCTGAATGCACCTGCCTCCCAGTGAGAGATATTGTTCCCACTAGGATTCGTACTCGGGATCGACCACTTTAAACGACACAGCGTTATCCACTACACCACCGTTTTACCCGTCGCACAAGAAGTGACTATCATGACTCGATGAGTTATCAGATAAGTTGCGCGCATCAAGTGGTATTTATCAAAAATGTACGCTCTACCCCTTCTCATTTAGTTTTGTCATGCACCAACTTCTGACGGTCTTCGCTCGTCGTCCAACTACATGGAATGGTTCAATCACCGGTGACTCATTACTGGACCCAGAGTTTATAAATGACATAGTCCTGTTAAGTGAACATCTTGATAATATGCAGAGTCTTTCGTACACCTTAAGTGGGAATTTCCAAATGCTTGGGATGCATTTTTAACCAATCAAATGCGAAATTTTACTACAGGGCAGGTCTGGATCCATGCCTTACCCACCATGTTGATCACTTCATTTACCTGACCTGCAAAGTCGGAACAACCTTTAGGGCTCGGTGACAGACAGAATCTCGGCATAGATACAAAAACCTCAATCGGCTTTCGTCAACTTAAACCATTTTAAGCACTGCCGTGATATCCCATTGCCTATTAACTGCCGAGTCTACTAGGCTGCACCTTTGCCTGCTCTACTCCACCACTCTGAAACATGGTCGATAAACGTAGAAAACATGAGAAGGATTCAGCCGTTCCACCACTGTCGCCTTCCTATCATACATTCCACGTGACTGTCATTACAACAGTAATATAGAAGTCAAGTGTAGAGTTTGGCCAGAAGTGGTAAGTCAGTTAATGAGGATGTGAACTTTCACAAACTACGATAGATGAAACATGTTATTCATACTTAGCTACCATCTCATTCGTCGTGTAATGTTGGCTGAAGTAGGTTTAGATAGCAGGAAGGTTAAAGACGTCAAACTGCAACACGGAGTAGTTGACTCTTCATCTAATCCAAGTGGGGGGATGTAGGCTATCCGGTTGGGTTGGAGTGGTCGTGACTACTGAAATTGTTAGTTGAGGCCTTCATCAGTTGATAAGGTTCACAATCGACCGCAATGGTGCAGATGTATCCACACACTATCGACATCTTAATCGACATACTGAATTCTATTATTGTTTCACTCCTTCTAGTTCCTCCATTTCTGATTACTTTCTTCTTTTTTCCTTTCGTCTTAGTCCCTTCTGCCTTCATGTGCTGATACGAGGTGCGACAACTTGGACAATTATGCAGTAATTCTAGGTCCCACTTTAAGTCGATTGACTGACTGACTGACAATTCAATCTACGGACAAAACGAACTGAGTCAATCAGCGAGTTTATGTGTAGGCAAATCTGTTGATGGTTTAAATCAATGAAATCACTGATGGACACAATCCATTCTGCTCATAATTTAAAGAGGTGATTTATTACATTACTAGATAAGTGTCTTAATGAGTAAAATCTCTAATAAAGAACATAAAACGAATATTATCTTACAGCACAGTGTTCGGAAATTACTCTTATATCATGACAAACGCCTATAGTTAACAATGTTGTTTTTGGAGTCAGAGGCTTTGTTAAATAAACTCTTCACTGTCAAACATCATGAAGATAAATCAAGAAATGAGTGTTTTCACTAAATATTCTTTTCTGATTGACGGAACTTGTCTTACCCGTTTATAACGCCTAAACATTTTCACTTCAACATCAATTAGGCAGAACTACACTTTACTAATATTCTCTCTACGAGTAACTAAAGGGCACTCTGACAATTGTTGAGATAACCAATCATGTTTCTTCATTTTGAGAATAACTACCTTTCCAGTCGAATTACTGAAAGCTGATTGGCTGTTTCAGCAGTTGCTAGCATAGCCCTTAAAATCGCCGTCTTTCTACACTTCCAAATATTTAAAACAATAAACCACTAATATAAGATGATATAGATCTTTATTATTTTTCTTCTATCGATGGAGCTGTGGTTCGTAGGTTTAGGGGCTCAACTTTCAATCACTAAGTCATGACGTTCAAACCCACCTTCACTCGTCAAGGTCATTAGCCCTTACAAAACAGCTGTGATTCACAGTGTCATATGAAACTGCATATCATTGGTAAGTCTCATTTTGCCTATTTTCGAAATCATGATAATCCCTCCATACGCTTTTGGAATAGATAATGTTTTCAAAGCCAATATTATAATACAACAACAAATTACGCTTACTTAGTGCTACCAGTGAAGTTGATACCAGCAAGTTGAGAATGTTCACATACCACCTTGCCAAATGTTGGACCATCTGCCGGTACAAAATTGATCACACCAGGTGGTAAACCAGCCTCACGAAATAATCTTGAAAGAAGAAGTGAATGCAAGAAGGATAATTAATATCGTTATGACTGATATGAGTACGAAAACGAGTGAAATTCGACTTCACAGAGTATATTCACTTTATTTGTTTTAGACATTAGATCAGTTTATTTTCTGTATAGTTCAAAAGTTGTCATAATTCACAAAAATGAACATGAGAGAAGTAACCTACCATTAGAATCACTTTGAGCTAATGCAACTCATCTATCCGATACGATTCCTGTCGACTACACAGAAAGCCTCACTTACTGTAAAGCCACTCTGATTGCTGAAACTGAAACAGATAGAGCGAAGTTTGAACCAATGATTCATTGGTTATAAACTAGATTTTTAAACTCATTAGCCACACTTCTTTATCCTAATGATCATTGATGTCTTCATATCACTTCTCACATACATTGAAGTCTTATCTTCTAGTACAGAAAACTGTTACTTAAAAAGTCAAATCCCTCCTCTTCACTCTTTTGTCAACTTTGACCCTTGAATGGAAATTCTTCATCCTATGCTTGAAAACGATATATTTATGAATGAAAACCTATAGAAATAAGTTCGTCGTGGTTTCACTGCGGCCGCCTTTTGTTTTTTCCTACTACTACTACTACTACTGCCTTCAGGCGCTTATAAATATCTTATGTATATTTCATATGCTATTATACTCTGGAGTTCTGACAAGAGGTAGTAAAGACGGGACCATTTAGGATATAGCATAGCCGAATGATGATTTCCCCTGTTAATGGTTTAACATCTGTTGGTTCTGGTGGTCTGAAAAATGTCTAGGATATCATATGATGTGGTAACTTGAAGTTTTTGCACTCAAGTGAAACAAAAGATTAAAATGTAGGGGAAACTTTCCCAAATCCATTCAATGTAATTGTTTCCCTCTTTGTTTAATTGTTATGACTACACTTTTATTTCTTTTATTTGCATATTATTATCATAATTGTCTAAATGCTTTATTTACGAAGGTCATAATCAAGTATTTTAAATATAATAAAAAATATAACTCCCTATAATGAACATCACGAAATAACGGATTACAGAAATGTTAAATGGTTGGAGGTGATCGGCAGAAAGCCTTAGATCTACATTCTCTGCTTGTTGGCACGCATCCAGCAAGGTGTATCTGTAACCTCGAGAGAATTGATGTCCTCTCTGAGATTCGGACCTGCGTCACCTTGTGCTTTAGTCAAAGGGTTGCGATTGCACGACTGGATTATGTACATTGATTGATAACTGGAGAGTAACTAATTACATGCTATCTAGTTGTTCTGAGTACTGACCGAATCCCATTGATCACTGTTATAATTTAGTCACCAGGGTAGGAGACTCAGCATCAACATTGTACTTCAGTTGGTGTAAAATAGATGGAAGTAATCGGCAGGAAGCTCTGAAATGCTATAAAATACTCAATGAGTTTTCTCAATGAATCACATAGAAAAGAAAAGTCATGCCTAAGAAGACCTGTAGGGAGGAGAACTATGTAAAATTCTATTAATTAGAAAGAAACTGAATGCAATCGAGTGATGAGCTAGATGTCAGTGTTACTAATGTCAGTAGATAAAAATTTCTTAGAATCTCAGGTGCAGCGGTGTTATCTGATTTAAGATAGCCAACTTTTGTACAGTGGTCTGGTCAAAATGATGGTCATTTGGCAGTGAAATTTTCGCTATTCCAAACAAACTTGGCACATCAACAATCATCCTCATCAAGATCAACATAGGACAAGGGCATTACTGTGTAACGTTCCCAGTTGCCACACCTCATGACATCAAATCAAGCAACAGGACAATAAAATGGAAGATGAAGAAGGAAAGAAAAATTGGTCAAAGGAAGTAGAAGTAGAAAGTAGTAAAAGAGGGAAGAAAGAATGAGATGAGGTTAGGTATAGCGGTTAAAATGAAGATGTGTGTATGCATCTACGCCACTAACATCGATTCCCAGCCATATCACCTAGTGTCTCCAACCACTGGTTACTCCTGTCCCACGGACCCCTGCCGGTTAGTCTGCATTCCCCCCCTCTACATGGCTCAAACGAACAGTCAGAGACTTCATACATTGATGCTGTGTTTTAGTCACACGTCCACAAAAGATTAAGTGAACAAAAAAAATATTAAAATAAACGACATAGGAGAAAGAGACTCATGATGTTCAAGATTTTCGGCATGATAAGGAGTAAATACATTAGCAATATTGACCACAATTTTGAATTGTCATCAACTGGTGATCTCTAGCATCTAAAAAACTTTACTGAACTAGCCTACACCTCTTTACACAACGCAAGTAAATATTTATTTACTTCACGGATTGATAACATAAATTGGTCTGACCACCTTTAACTTGGTGTCAATGCGTTCTCACTCTAGTCATGGTTAGACACGAATTATCTACTTCAGTTAGTGTTGTATGTTGTTTATTTTATTATGTTATTATTAGTTGTCCGTTGGGTTCGTAGTGGAACATAGAACTTCAGTAGCACGTCACCATTCCACTCGGTTCTCTTCAGTCTTTTTAACCTGGCTCCAGGACTGGCCACAAGCTTTCATTTCTTCCTCACACGATCGCTTCCATGTCACCCTCAGACACCCAACTCGTCGTTTCCCCTAGGAACTCCACTCGACGACCTGACCTGACGCATGATGTCGCCAGACGGTCTTCTCAGTGTATGCCCAGTCCAATCAATCTCCACTCTTTTCTTCTTCTGCATATTCGTTGAGCGATAGGTTCTTGGTTGGTTCGTTCCCAGAGTTCCTTGCTACTTATTCCTTCTGGCCACCTCATCTTCAGTATCGAGTGAGCGTAGGCAGCTGTTCATGTGATGTATGTGTGTAGTTTGTTGGAAATGCTTTTTGTGACGTGCCGAGTCTCTCAACCATCACATAGAAGCACTGACTCACTTGACTGACTTAGTGTTGAAAATCCGGATGTTGTTCACGCTTCATCCTGAGTACAGTGCATTGCGGTGTGGTAGATCTCCACACTGATGTCAAATTGACGAAGGAAGGCCTGTCTTACTGTCTTTCCAATCCTGGCTGCTTTCACATTCTCATCTGTGCCTGTGACGCCTGTAGTTGAAACGATGCTGCCTAGGTGGGTAGGTAGGCAGGCAGGCAGGTGAGAGAAACAACTTCTTTCAGATTTCTCCTGTTGATGGTGATTGGTGTTTGTTGTTGTTGTTGTTGTTGCTGCTGTTGATGATGATGATTGGGCATCTTCACCACCCCTGTATTCCCTACGTAAGTTCATATGAAGGAAGTCCCGTCTTCTTTGGCTGTCTCGCCTGTTCTGCCAAGTTGTTAGTTTTCGCCTGTAGATCTTCGAGTTTGTGAGACACCAGACAGACACAAATCATCATCGGCGAAATCCAAATCTTCTTCTGGGTTCTTCCCATCGGTCAATCAGTCTATGCCCCTCTTCTCGCTGCTCACCATTTGCTGCATGATCCAGTGCAGTCCAGTCCACCACAATCAGGAAGGTGATCGGTGATAGTAGGTGACAACCTTGTCTCTTTCCATCCTATCTTCACTTCAAAGGCGTCACTGAGCTGCTTTCCATTGTGAATCACTTGGCATGTGGCGTCGTTATATAACTGTTGGATGAGGTCGATGAAGGTTTGTGGTATTCCGCAGTGTTGAAGCCATTGCAAATTACTTCTCGGTCGACGCTGTCGAAGGCCTTTTCAAAGTTGATGAAGTTGAGGTAGAGAGTTGACTGCCATTCTATACTCTGTTCTATTATGATGTGTAGCATAGCGTTGCAGTTTGATTGGCACATGATTTGTACTTCCTGAATCCAGCCTGTTCCGGTTGTAATTTTGAATCCAGAGCACCTTTCAGTCTCTCCAGAATGATGCGGTATAATATTTTGCTTGGGATGGACAGCAACATGGTTCTGCACCAGTTCTTGCAAAGACTAAAATCTCCCTCCTTTGGGAGTTTGACAAGGTAGCCCTTCTTCCAATCAGCATGTATCTTTCCTCATTCCTTCCTTCCAAACCTTTTGCAACAGTGATATGAGCATGTCTGGTGTTGTCTCTGCGTCTGTTTTCAGTGCTTCTGGTGGAATTCCATCTGGTTCTGCTGCCTTCCAGGATTTCAGCGACTTTATGGCGTTCAGAACTTCGACTTTTGTCGGAGGGCTTGTGTTCACTGGTAACTCTGAGGTTGCCGGTGGTATTTCTGGACGAGTTGCAGGTGGTGGTGGCCGATTGAAGAGTTTTTCGATATGGTGAGCCAATCATTTCCTTTGTTTCCCCTTCACAATCTTTCATTGGTTTCATTTGTGTTGATCTCTTCTCTCCCAGATAGTAACCTGGCTATTTGATATAATGTTCTCACGTCTCTGTCTCTCCTACCTGCAGCCTGTTCTGCTTCAGTTGCAATTGTGTCGTAGAAGTGTCTTTTGTCTTTGCGCGCACTCTTCTTCAATTCTTTGTCCATTGTTTTATACGTTGTCGTTAGTTCCTCTTTTCGTTGTTCGTCCCTGCACTGCACTGGTTCTTCTTCTGCTTCACCATCTTTTGCTACCTACTCTATCAGCTTCCATGTATCCATCGAGATCTATTCCTTGTCTCGCTTCTTCCTCCTTCGTAGCACGGTTATGCAGGTTTCCTTCCACATCTTTTTCAATGAGTTCCAGTGTTCTTCCATGCATGTTTTTTCGGGGATGTTGCTTAATGTCCCCCATTTCTTCATCATAGCTGACGTGAAGATGTCCTTTGTAGTTTCGTCCTTCAGTTCAGTTTCTGTTCTGTTCTGGGTGTTCAACTTTAACTACGGTCGTCTATCACCAACTTTTCTGAAGGCTTTCAACTTGATTTTGAAGCCAGTTTCCTTGCACCAGACAGTTAGTGGCTTGGACCTACATCTGCTCCACTTCTTCAGATTGAGATGAAGTCGATCTGATTTTTAGTTTAGTGTATCCATCTGGTGAAATCAAATCCATGTCACTGCCTTGTGAATATTCTTGTGTTTGTACACACTGTCTCCAGTCACGAAACCATTTTAATGTGCAGAAGTCTGCAAACAGTTCTCCATTTTCCTTCATCATCTCACCAAGTGCTTCTCGACCCATGATGAGTTCTCTTCCTGCGTTGTCCCCTCCTAGTTTGGCATTCATGTCACCAACTGGGATTTTGTCTATTACTGACTGCAGTTGTCTATAGAATTCCTCCTCCTTCTCTTGTTCTGCATTATTTGTAGGTGCATAGCACTGCATTGTATGACTGTGACTTTCCTTCCTTTTGAGTTGAACCTTGCTGTCATGATCCTGCAAGAGGAGATTGGTTCCCACTGTATGAGAGCCTTTAGTGCTGTTGGGGACATCATGATAACCACTCCAAAACTCAGTGTGCTCGTGGTTGTCGACTGGATGACAATATCGGGGTAAATTATTGATTCTCCAGTTGACATTTAGGAGAGTCCATGACATTTGCTTTCGCAGATTCATAGCAGTTCTATGCTATACCTTCTCATCTCTTTTGCTATCTGGGCAGCCTTGCCAGCTAGGTTTATACATGGTGTGGACATTCCATGTCCCCATCCTTACTTTCGCTTCCATCGAGAGAAGACACATCGGCCGACTGGCTACCCGAAGGCTTTCATCAAACGGTGTCATTTTGTCTCTCCGATCCCAGTGAGGAATAAGTTTAATTTTATTTTGTATAGTTTATTTGTGCTTTGAAGTTTCATTAGAGATTGGATTGGTTCTACGGGGTAGGGTTGCTAGCCCTATATGCCCAACCTTTCCTCTCTATTCGGGCTTAGAACCGGCTAGTATCTAGTGAACTAGTTAACCAGGCGAGGTTGTATGTTGATGCATTCTACTACTTTTTAATCAATCCATAAAGAAAAATACACAAAAGCTACGATGCATTTTGTTTCATTCAACAACAGGTATAAACTGACACTTCTTACCTTTTTTCGCACCCAGTATTAGTATCAACAAACGTCTGAATATGTTAGCCGAAAGAGTGATATCTATAGTGATATAATTTTAGTTTGAATTTGATAAGCGGCCTAAACAGAAATCAACATTTTAAGTCATCAGCCACCAAGGCAGAAGTTTTGGTCTTAAACTTTTGCTGTTGTATAGTAAGGAAAACTTTACTGGGTAACTTTTTCCTTCAGCTGACCAATCAAAATAAGTATTCAACTTTTGATCTAGTGGTTTTATATGTTTCTGGAAACTGCATATAAACGATACACATTTTTGTCGAATAAAGTGTCTTCCTCAATATAAGCGTAAAACTTGGGCAATGTGGTAGAATTTAACTCCATATTAGATTTGTTTACTTGATTCATAACACAGAGGGATACAGTATTATTTACTTGATGAAGTTTCAAGCATAAATTATCACTGCTTATAATCACATCAAAGTAATCACACTACTTTCGATATCTGATTTTTATAGTCCTGTTAACTCATATTCTCTGTTTTTATTGGTAGTAAGGTTTTTGTATATCTCTGGTATGGATGGTGCATCACTCCGATTACATGTGTTGGGTTGATCATTGATTTGATGAACAAAGACTCAGTAATCAATCTCTCTCATTCCACCTAGTTATATTCGACAATGGTTTCATCCCACCCATTCTATTGTGTGGTTGTGTTAATGCATCGATTGCAATAGCCGAGTTTTTCTTCTAGATTACTGATCTTATTCGAGTCTGTCATTCTATATCCAGCTAAATTCCTATGTTCGACTATTCTAACCGACTTTGACCAGCTAGTTGGACCTATTTACTTGATCTGACTCACAGCCATTACGTGGAATTTGATAGATTAGATTATTTTGCTTAATTGGACCTATCGGATCCTTAGGCCATGCGACAAAGCTTATCTCTGACTGAGTTTGTGGGGTTAAACACCACTCTAATTCCAGATTTGTTAGGGTGACGATCCTACGTAAAGTTCCTGATGTACGTACCTTATAGGGTAACACAATAGAGGGTGTGAATTCCTTTTTACTTGTGTTGTTGTTATTAGTCGTACTCGTGTTGCTGTTATTATTTCGTTTTTGTGTGTTCGTACGAATTTCTTAACAAACTGTAGAGGATATTTATTAACTATTAGTGCTTGTTTTATATGTTTCAGTTCCTTTTTTACGTCGCTGCACTGACTGGTGAGTTTTCTGGCTCCATTATTTAGTGTCTTCCTTACAATCAAGGGTGGTTTTTGTCTTGAAGTATAAGGTTCCAAGGGAGAACAGTCACTATCCAAATGCCTCATTGCGTTAATATCGTTCGCGTGTTTATTATAATTAATAATCCAGTCACTTTATCATTCAAATTACTCATCAATATAAAGAAAACTTTTCTTTAAAGAGCAACATTTCAAAATTATGAATCTATGAGATATCTTACCTATAGACGAGATAATTTGAATACACTGCTGTATCAGAAGGTTTCCAAACTACAACATTGCCCATCAAAGCTGGTGCACTTGCTAGATTACCTGCGATAGCGGTAAAATTAAACGGTGGTATAGCAGCCCAGAACCCCTTTGAAAAGGATCAGAAAGAACTAAACAGCACATACTTCAGTTGGTCGATATATATATTCATTTTTTGCATCCTCAGTACTAATTGGTTGATATTCCAGAGCTTCCTGTAGATAAAACGATAACTTCCACTTGGATATTTACATACTGAAGCGAATTGTACGTTAAACCGTAGGAAATCGGCTAATTCTGCAGCTGCATCTATTTCAGCTTGGAAAATAGTCTTTCCCTAGCAGTAGATATGGACAAAAAAGTAAAACAATCGATCTTACTTGACCAAGAATAGTTGAAGCTAATAATTCCATGCGACGTTTATCTCCAACAAGATCTGCTGCTCTTAAGAATATCTTAGCACGTTCGTAAAAACTTGTACGACACCAGTTCTTACGAGCAGCTAAACATGACTCAATTGCACGCTTGATTTGCTCTTCTGTGGCATAATAAAAATTAGCCAATGTCTTCGAATGCTCAAATGGCTTGATTTATAATATTGAAAACTTTTTCCGACATACCAAAATATGTCTTCGAAGTTCTCTGGATGATTCCTCTTGTGAATCAATACATATAGGTATGTTGTATGGAGATTTCGATAGCATGGAAGTCAATGTGTTATCTAATTCTTGCCGTTCACCACTACCAGGTTTATGCAATAAAACTGGTTCATTTTTGGCTTTGTAAAATCTGCATAGTAGTGTTCGACAGAACCATTTAGGAGTGTAACCAAAAACACCAGATGATCTATTATTTTTACGAAAAAAACATAAGATATGTCAATTTTCGGTTTCAAACAGGATATATAATTAATTTCAGTTGAATTAAATGTCAGTTAAAGGTTTACGGCGCTAAAAGAACATTAAGACATGTAACCTATGAAAATGATGGGATCAGAAGTCAGGATTACGCAACCTGGTTCCGAATATTGACCAAATACAGTAGTATCAGTAGCAGTACTGGATTCTTTTTGAATAAATTTCAGCAGTTCTCAAAAAGAAATCCAGATTAAACGGACTAGGCAGACATAGCAAATAAGTGTAAACAGTTATTGCACAACTTGATACGATTTCATTACTTGTTCGTAACAAGCATTCCTTGTGAAAAGCTGATTCTTATAGTTGTCAAATTGTAAATTAAAATACTATCAGCTACGGACCCACCGCATCACCGAATGCAACTTTTGGAACATGGTGAAATAGGTGCTGAGCTTTCATTCTTTTCGAGACTAAATAAGCTATTTACAGTCTGCGAACAAATTTTCCAATAGAACAAGAAACTAATAAACTTATGAACAATTTACGGTAAATAACACTCTTCACTTCAAGTCTTATAATCGTTTTGTTCACTTTTCACTGCCATGAAGAGAAACTAAGATCATTGAAGCACAAAATTCAATTGTTCTCACTTATTGTCTCCTCTAACTCAAATAAACAAAAGGCAGTAAACGTTAGAAATGATTTTGTTGACCTCCTTCACCTCTCAATATCGTGATTGAACCAGCATAAAATGTCTGGCATCACTTACCAATTCTAGGAATTCTAAGTCCACGTATGAAATGTTTCAATAAATAAACTGATATACGATTAGTGAAGTAAAGAAATTCCATGTTAAATGCTTTCTTTTCGGCATATACATTTCTAAGAAATTCTGTAACCCATCAGTTCCTTTTCTCTTTCATTCCAATGAACTAAAGTTATATCGAATATTCCCATCTAAACATTTAGAAAAAAAACTTAAAACTAGAGAATGGTCCAGTGAACGAAACTACTAGCTGTTTAGAATTATATTGTCGTTACATGGATGATACCTTCATAGTCCTCAAAAGTGAGAATGATAAGAATGCTGTTCTTAATAAGTTCAATAGTCATCATCTGGCAATCAACTTCATAATGCATAGGGAGAAAAATGGCAGTATCCCATTTCTTGATGTTCCGTTGGTAAGAAGGTTAGATGGGACTCTGAAACAAAGTGTATACAGAAAACCAACATCAACAGGTCAATATAAGCACTTCTTTAGTGCTGTACCTTTTCAATACAAAAGGAACCTGCTGAAATGTCTAGCATACCGCACCAAAGTTATTTGCTCAGACGATGCTATAAACAAAAAGTGCACCACCATCCCTCATCTGCTTAGTAGGAATGGTTATCCACACAAGTTTGTGACTCAGCATATCAATATTACGAAGGTTAAGACAAGAAAGCCAACAACTCCTAACAAACAAATATTCTTCAAGCTGAAATTCAATGGTGACATCGTCAGTAAGACCATCACACAACCCACAAGAAGAGCCTTTCAAAAAGCATTCCCAGTCGCTAAATTATGTCACATCTACAACTGAGCGATTCTATGTGCAAGAAATAAAAACAAACTGTCTGGTTTTGCCACTTCTATGTGCATTTATCAACTCAACTGCTCCTCAGAGCTAGTCACATTGGGTGTACAATGAGGCAGGTACATCGTCACATTTCTGAGCACTATCCATCATGCTTGAGCAAGGAACAAATTAGAACAATAAACAGCTCCATACTTACACACCTAGTTGATACAGGACATCAAGCGAATACTAGAAAAGCTTTCAAAATCATTCATCACATTCCAATTAATTTACCAATTGGATAACACACTCGCTTACTTCACATAGCAGAGGCGATTGCAATCCACCCTTACAAACCTAACCTTTGTATTCAAAAGAAGTTTGTTCGACCGTTTTCACTATCATGGCCGTCAACATGATGTACCTCCTAGTACTACACTATACACTTCTTCACCTTCCTGTCCCTATCAATATTCTTTTTTTCCCCTTATTATTACGGAATCGCTTAATGTTTATGACTGAACATTCATCAAAAATCACTCCATTTACCAAACAATAACCTGGTTTATATTTCCAATTTTAATTACTCTATTGATTGTTTACACCTTAATTTCTAAAACATCATCTTCATGACTTACTTGAAATCTATGATTACTGTTTACCAACCCTCCACCGCTTAATTGGTATTTTGATGAAATTGTAAAACTATGTATTAGTGTAAAGCCCAAGATGAAGACCTAATTGTGAAAAGGAATATATTTCTTCACCCGCCCAATCAGTCTTTTTTCTGAAAAGTTATGAGTCACCGAAAATATAACCGCTCAGTTAAATTAATAACTAAACGCTGACGCTTAAGATGTCCAGCATTTTGGCAATCACACAGTAACTCATTCGTATTAAAAACAAAACATCACGTCCAAGAAATAAAAAGCCGAACGTATCTAAGCTGAACTTTTCAAACGCACCAGTTATATTTCATATAAGAATTATTTGATCAAGATTCGAAAACTATATTTGAAAATGATCTTGCAAACTATATCAAGAGTCTACTGAATTATAAATAAGCGAACGCTGGTATGAAAGTGAGAAAATCTAATCATTAAGGGTTTTCGGAGTGTAACTGTTCAAAGTCAAATTATCACGAAACTGTTGTTGGACATATCAAGACGAGCTGAAAGTTTATCATGATGTTCTGTTTATTAAAAACGTGGAATAACCTTAATAAAGTATTCGACCAAGAAAACCATCACATCATTGCTATCCTAGAAACCCAGCTCACACCTGAGAATAGTGATAACGAGGTATCATCTTGACTATCTGAGATAGCTGTGGTTTGGTAGACTTGTGTTTATATTGAGTAATGACTGAAGATGAAATGAAAATTTGGACCGCGGCGGAATCTGAACCAGTGACCATCGGGTTTCCGGTGGTGAAGCTTTTAATTTTTTTCCAGACAACAATCTCAGCACTAGTTTCATATTTCTACCTGCTTTCCCAGTAGCTGTGCGTAAGTAATCAGGATTTATGCAAACGCTTCGCTTAGTCATGCAAACCTGAGACCTTAAGGCATATTTGCACGTTTCCTGACACATTCCACGCAAGTAATCGTACTTCAGACTTGAAGCCATGCTTAGTATATGTCTTACACACTACATACTGATATAATGAATCAATAATAAGGAGAGATACATGCATACCAAAATAGAGTCAAGTATGTAGAGTGACGGAGAGGAATTGAGGTGAGATACACCATTAAGTATTACTTTAAGAAGATCGAGGTGCACGTATGACATACGCCGTGGAATTTACAGTTCACGTGATTCATCAATATTCTCACACGATATCAACTGATGCCCCAGGCAACATTTTCGGGGGGAAACTTAGGGCCAAACCCAGAACACGGAGAAAATCGGGAAAAAGTTGGGTGAAACGCAGGGCCAAAGTAATACGAAGCAGTACTCAAGACAATGTTGCAAAATCCCGAGTTTTCAAAGCAATTTCTGCCCATTTCCCCACGTTTTGCCCCGCGAAAATGTTGACTGGTACCTTCAGATACACATGTGTTACATTAACGTTAATCAACTGATTACCGCTTAAGTCACGAAAACACCTTCAAAATCGTAGAAAACATGAAATGATACAGTCCCTACAAACAATAATAAAGAGCTACCACTGGATCAGGTGTCTCAAAATCGCATTTTGACCCTAGGTGTTCACTATGAAAAGAGCCTGAGCTATTGCTGAGCGCATTTCAGCGGAAATTAATGGAGGATATGCATAATCTTGAAGAAATCCAGCGGAAATTTCAGGTGAGTATGCACTCTGTGGAAAATAAGAACTAACTGTAGCGCTTTTTTAGTCATTTTACATTAATCTTCCACCAATATTTCTTTACTTATTTCTCCTGTAAACCAAGTGGAAAAAATATAACGCTCATATCCTAGTTTAGTGTTGTGATACACTGATGCGACACATCAAGGTTACAAGAGCTGTACCTGAGACTCATATCCGACAGATTTACTGATTTTTGAAATATGGTTCTGTGTACAAGGTCGCATGCAAATAGTTTCCAATACTATGGTAGCAGTGTATGATATCTACTACAATCATAAGAGCCTAGAAAAATGATAGCTTTTGATCTCTCAAGTCTACTTCTAGGGCTTGGTTCTTTTTTTCAGTATGTCGTAATTACGGGCAGGAAATTTTCTTCTATTTTTAGCTCCGGTGAGATAAATGCTTTAGTGGGCTGGTAACCGTAACTTGTGGATTGAGCTGGTTATGGAGCTACTGGTTGCTGACACTACTTAGGGTCTTTCGTGCCTCCTTTCTGAATATGTATCCGAATGACAATGGCAAGATAGTGAGAGTTTCTAAAGAGTTAAAGTATATGGTATGGATCTAGTTACTAGAGAACAGTTAGTAAATAATGCAGGTGTATCGCCAAGAAAAATGGTGAGTTTTAAATCAGAAGGAAGTAGTGGTGGACAACTTAGGTCATTGATGACCTGAATACGTCTGTGGTTAGCCATATGAACCAAAGTAGTTGTCTAACCGTCTTTTAAATTGGTCTGAAGTGGGAGCGGACTACATCCCGAGGTAAGTCATTCCATAAAGGATATAATACTACGGAGAAAAAATTTGTTTTGGGCATGGCGTTAGCTCTCTGATGTGCTGTTCTGATATGGTTCCCTCATGGTAACTATACCATTGTGCAGGTAAGGTTAATTCGTTTGCGTGGCTTGTCTGATAGATTATCTTGTAGACCATAATAACGTCGCCTCTGTTTCTGTAACAGCCCAGATTCAGTGCTTTTATGTGTTTAAGTTTGCTAGAGCATTTCGTTCGTCTAATTCGCATTGGCTGTTTTGCTGTCGATCTCAGCATTTTCTGAAGGAGACTGGAGTTTCGCTTGAGTTTTGGGTGCTGTCCGATTGAAGACTTCCGGACGCTGCCGTACTTTAGATTTGAATACCGTGACAAATAGCTTAGGGGCGAGAGCATTGAGCCACCTATCTAGGAAGTGTTTAGCAACTTTCATTCCGGTGACCATCCATTCGTAGTTGAACCTGGTTTTAGGCGTATTCAAGGGGTCGAGTCCCAGATCTTTCGCCTCGGATACTTTGGTGATGACACGGTTACTCAACTTGCATTAGAGTTTGGCTGTTCTTGCTTCGCCGGTATCGATGTTCGACATCTTTCACTTTTTCAGGTCTAGGCTCAAGCCGTTTTTGACGATCGGAGTTCGCATTGCTGCTGGTGATTTTCGGGTAGCATATGGTCAGCCTCTTAGTTAACCGCTCTCCAAATTTGCGTGTCGTCAGAAAAAAGGGGAATAGGTGGGTAGGTTTAGTGTGGAAGGTCGTTGACTGGCCGAGGGAATAGAAGCTGTCTCGGGACTGCCCCTTGGGATACCCCCGATATCCAATATCTTTCCACGAGCTAGCGTAAACCAATTGATTTCTTCTCGCTCCCCTCTAGGTCTTGCGGAACGGCTCCTAGTCCTTGGTGGGTTCCGATGCAGTTGGTCTAACCGCTCGCCTGCTGTAGCCCCAGCCAGCCTGAGGGGCAGTTGGGTGGTGGTTAAACTTGCACGGATTGTGTGATTTTTCCAAGATCTGTGGTGCAGAAAGGTTCGTCAAGTGTTGTGCTACCAGATAGTCGGTCAGACTTGTTGTAAAAATAAGATCGAAGACGCGACCAGAGAAATCAAGGGAGGGGAAGAGCGGAAAAAAAACCGACGGGTTGAGAGGAAGCAGAACAGAAGGGGGGAAACCCAGGTAGATTCATGGCGGAAGAGTGGTAAGGAGAGCTTTTATTAGATAGTTTGAGAACAGAGTAAGAGGGAAGGGAAGGGGCGAGTTAAATTGTAGGGCGTTATAGGAAAAAAGAAAGCACAACTGTTAGACGGCAACCGGAGATGTCTGCAGGGAAGTATAGGACTGAGTCACGTTCGCGATGATAGTGGCAGTGCAAAGGACTCGGTAACGATCTAGCTGTGCTGGTTTGTGCGGAGTAAGTAGGTTGTGTCAACCCAGTCCGCAATTCGGCTGGATGAGCGTAGACCATGGGTCGCTGCACAGCTGTCCAACCTCTTCTCATGAAAAGGGCTCGGCGTTAATCCAGATTAAATGCTAGTCGGTTATTGTCCACCCATTCTGTGAGCAATCTGAAATCGCTCTGCAGTACACTTGATTCTGCTTTGACTATCACGGTTCTCTATAACTTGGCAGAGACGGCATAAATTAGGGTCGGGGTTTAGACTCAGTGGGAGATCGCTACCAAGAAGAAGGGACAGAAGCGGACCTAAAATTGCTCCTTGCGGCCCCAGATGTTCTCCAGGCCGAGCTAACCCTGTTGACCCGTGTGCAGAGTTCTCTGCCGTCTAAACGGTCTCTCAGCCAGGAGGGTACTTGACCCCTCACACCCTACCTTGATATTTTGCAGGTGAAAATTGTGTGTAGGACTGCATCTGAGGCATTATCAATATCCTAGGAAATAACATGAAGGGAAACCTGGAGGTCTTAGCATGCCGCCCTGTTACCACTGGCTGCCAGAAAGTCCGAGGTGTAGGGCCTACCCCTTCCGAAACCGTGCTAAGCACCACTTGTTGCTCCCTCGCTGTCCAAGTGCTGGCCGACATAGTCGTCTGACAGGCGTTCCATTACTTTTAACACCACTGGTGGAAGTGCCATGGGTCGGTGGCATCTCAGGCCTTCCCTGTATTCTCCTCTGGAGGTGGGAGACGAAATAACGCGTTCGACACTGGCGGAAAGACATCGTCGCACCACAGTGATTTTCCTATGCGAAGCTCTGACAGTTTTTCGAGTGCCACACCAGGGGCTACCTTTGTTCCATGCAACTCTACTGCATTCAGTAGTGCTGAAGGTTGCTCCGGCAGCTGATAACTTCGGTTGGATGTCGGCATGTCCAGTCGTGTATCGAAGGAGAGGCTGAAGGTTTCGGTGATCTCTAGTCCAGAGAAGTTCTGCTGGTTCGGGTCTTTCATAAGACAGGCTCCCTGGCTGGTCGGTTTTCTCTCCGCCATGAATCGATACAGAGTTCTGGGGTTCGCCTCAAGCTTACTGGCAAAGTTCGTCCGGAAAGTGAGTTTTAAATGACTAGAACTCCACACCTGGACAAGTGGCATCAGCTTGTAGCGTCATACACTTCCCCAAAATCAATAGCCTAGGGTTTGACGACTTCGACATTGATGCTGACCTTGATAGTTTAACTGGACTCGCTAAGCTGAAGGCATCCGGTCAAGCATCCTCGCCATTTGGCACGCTGTCGTGTTACGTTGCATTGCTCGTATTCGACTCTCTAGCCAGTTAGTTGGAACGCATCGGTATTTTGGCATAACCATCCAAATATACTATTCCATCCGACTACGCTATCGTGTTCTTCCTTGGTCTCGTATTCGTGGGTATATAACAAGTTCGAATAATTAGTGATTGGTCTTTGCGTCTGTCAAGTTCGCACCAGGACAAATCCTAAATTGGTGAGCCCGACGTGATCACATATCCCGACCAATAGCAAGTATTGAATTGGTGAGCCTGTTCCATTTTATATTTGTTTATTGTTTTCATTTCGATAACATTTATATATCCATTTACTACACTTTCTCATGTCCGACCAAACTCCCAAGCTTATTCGTATTAAGCCGACCTCGAACACGATCCAACTCGTGCCATATTGGCCAGACAATGCAGAAACATGGTTTCTGTATGCCGAGGCCGATTTTCGAGAACAGGGTGTCTCAGATCCTCAATCTCGATTTCTTGCCGTCATACGTTCACTACCGCGAGAATTAAACAGGTTTGTTACAGCAAACATGTTTAATCCTGAAGTAAGTGACCCTTATGCACTTCTAAAGGCTGCACTCTTGAAGAAAAGCGATCTCACAGATCGCCAACGTCTAGACGAATTGCTTCGTAACATCGAGCTAGGCAGCCACTCAGCTACTGAAGTCCTCGCACGCATGCGAGAAGTAATCGGTGCACGAACATTTGACGATGGTTTCTTCCGAGAACTATTTCTCTCGAAACTACCACAACCGGTGCAAACCGTGTTGGTGACACTCCAGTCAGTCCCACTCGACGACCTGGCAGCTTCAGCAGATAAAATACTGGAGATATCCAGCAGACCCGTCTCCAACGTATATTCTATCTGTGACAAAACAGAGCGCCAGGATTCGGAGGTGACCAAGTTGTGCAACTCTGTGAAACGGTTGCTACGATCTCGAAGTCCTAGATCACGTAGCACTTCACAGAAACGCACCTTGGCGCATCGCAGCAAGTCGCGTGGTAGCCCTAAAACGAAACCCAACAGGGTGGAAAACCCTGAATGGTGCTGGTTTCATAACACTTACGGGGATGAAGCCAGAAAATGTCGTAAACCATGCCGTTTTAAGAAGGACACGAACTCGGGAAACGGTCACGCCGGCACGTGCTCACGGCAACCGTAGCCGGCGGAAAAAGCCGTTTGCTCTACGTCACCGACATTAAAACGAAAGTCCGCTACCTCGTCGACACCGGCGCAGAAGTTAGCGTTCTTCCAGCAACGACAAAGGAGCGTCATCTCGACCCATCCTTCAATCTTCAAGCAGCCAACGGCAAGGCAATCGCGACATTCGGGAGACGGTATGCCTACCTCAACTTAGGTTTACGCAAACCTATTCACTGGATTTTCCTCCTGGCAGACGTCTCTATGCCTATCATTGGCATAGATTTGCTGAACCATTACGATCTACTCGTAGATGCTCGCCGTCGACGACTGATAGATAACAACACAAAGTTATCTATTGGCGGCACCACCTATGTAGGTCCGAGTTTAGCCATCGTTAGGACTAAACAATCAGGCGACGCGTCCTACCAGGCAGTTCTGGAGAAATATCCAGAGTTACAACAACCGAAACACACTCTTCCGTGCATAACCAGCAATGTTATGCATCACGTCACAACCACAGGTCCACCTGTGGCATCCAAAGCTCGCCGTTTAGCCCCCGATAAGCTGCAAACGGCGAAAAATGAATTCGACCATATGCTGGAACTGGGCATTATCAGACCGTCAAACAGTCCTTGGGCATCGCCATTGCACATGGTGCCCAAAAAGGATAGCAACGACTGGCGTCCGACCGGTGATTACCGAAGGCTTAACGCCAAAACAACTCCGGACTGCTACCCTATAACCCACGCCCACATCGTGGACCATTGAGAGATAAAGTGGCGGCTATCACAAACTATCCAGAGCCGACCACTGTGAAACATCTCCGCACTTTCAATGGCCTGGTAAGTTATTACCGAAGGTTTATCCCTAACTGTGCCTCTGTCATGAGACCACTCACAGATCTACTTCGAGGAACTGCGAAGTTCGTGTCTCTGGACAACGCGGCTAGACTTGCTTTCTCCAAAGTCAAGGAAGCCATTTCGAACGCAACCATGCTTATGCATCATGACCCCAATGCTCCTCTGAGTATTGCTGTTGATGCATCTGATTCAGCAATTGGAGCAGTTTTGCAACAGTTGACTGACAACCAGTGGCAACCGTTAGCCTTTTTCTCGAGGCGGCTGCAAGACGCGGAAACAAGATACAGTACATTTGGTAGGGAACTCCTAGCCATGTACTGTTCTGTACGCCATTTTCGACATTCTGTGGAAGGTCGTGATTTCATTATTTTCACAGACCACAAACCGTTAACCTTTTCCCTCAGCTCGGCGTCTGACAAATACTCCCCTCGTGAGTCGCGACAGCTGGATTACATTTCCCAGTTCACGTCAGATATCCGCCACATTTCTGGAGCAAACAACTCCGCAGCCGACGCACTATCTCGAATAGCTTCGATAAACTATATCGAGGGTATTGATCTCGTTGAACTAGCTCGGCGTCAAAAGGAAGACCTTGAGCTGCATCACGAGTTGTCGTCCACAACTCTCAAACTGCGACTTTGTCCTGTTGGATCAGACAAGGATGCAATTTTGTGCGATGTCTCTGCTAGTCAACCACGCCCAATAGTTCCGAAGAGTTGTCGACGCAACGTCTTCAATACGTTGCACAAACTCTCTCATCCAGGTGTACGAGCCACCATTAGGCTTATCGCACAACGTTTCTGCTGGCCTGGGATGAACAAAGACGTTAAGGAGTGGGCCCAGTCGTGCTTAGCTTGTCAAAAGTGTAAAGTCACGCGACACACGAAAAGCCCTTTAGGCTCATTTCTAGCCCCAGACATGCGTTTCGACCACGTCCATATAGATATTGTAGGACCCCTACTAGAATCTAATGGATGTACCTACCTTTTCACCTGTGTTGATCGTTTCACACGATGGCCGGAAGCAGTACCCATTAAAGATATTACTGCCGAAACAGTTGCTCGTGTTTTCGTCGAAAGATGGATCGCGAACTTCGGATGTCCATCCTACGTCACAACCGACCGTGGGCGCCAATTTGAGTGCGGACTATTTCACGCTCTAACGGCACTTTTAGGTTGCACTCGGTTCCGAACGACAGCCTACCATCCACAAGCAAATGGCATGGTAGAGCGTTTCCATCGACAGCTGAAAGCTTCCCTTTCAGCTACAAACATACCTCAGTGGACCGAGGCTCTGCCTCTAGTCCTACTAGGTATTCGTAACGCGTTGAAAGTTGATGCTGGATGCACTCCTGCAGAACTCGTCTATGGGACCACTCTTCGCCTACCAGGTGAGTTTGTTTCCCCTTCAACTTTCAAACATGTTTCCGATAGGGCATCTTATGTGACTAGGCTTACAAACGCAATGCGTTCAGTTAGGCCTTCTCCGATTAGACCGCAAACGACTGATGTTTTCGTCCACCCCAGTTTACAGAAGACATCACACGTGTTTGTTCGCCACGACGCTGTTCGTCGACCACTTGAACCACCCTACGACGGGCCGTTCAAAGTGATTAAGCGACATGAGAAATTCTATGTAATTGAGCGAGACGGACGTGAAGATACTGTCAGTATCGACCGTTTGAAACCAGCTTATTTCGAAGGCAACCCCATTGTAAGTGACGTTTCAGATCGCTACATCCGACCGACGGATGACTCAATTATCGAAATTCTCGACGATGTGCCTGGTAATGCACAGCTGCAACAACCTTCCGGCTGGTATCGTCTTAGGGTCCTCACGAACCCACTAGGGGGGGAGTGATCTGTAGCGTCATACACTTCCCCAAAATCAATAGCCTAGGGTTTGACGACTTCGACATTGATGCTGACCTTGATAGTTTAACTGGACTCGCTAAGCTGAAGGCATCCGGTCAAGCATCCTCGCCATTTGGCACGCTGTCGTGTTACGTTGCATTGCTCGTATTCGACTCTCTAGCCAGTTAGTTGGAACGCATCGGTATTTTGGCATAACCATCCAAATATACTATTCCATCCGACTACGCTATCGTGTTCTTCCTTGGTCTCGTATTCGTGGGTATATAACAAGTTCGAATAATTAGTGATTGGTCTTTGCGTCTGTCAAGTTCGCACCAGGACAAATCCTAAAAGCTCATTAGGCGAACACAGTGAAGGAGAAACTAGATATTTGCAGAAGGATCCACTACAAGGATCGATCAGTTAGGATACAGGTGATCTATCCTTGACAATGAGGACTGATTGCCAGGATAGAATTAGTTGATATCAAATAAATTTTCTCCATTTTTGAGTTTTTGAGACCATTATGAAAATCAGATCCACTCCACAATTGAATTCGCCTACTGAAAAACATGGAACGCAAGGAGGAATCATCCTCATCTTGCATAAAAAAATTGTAGTTTTGTTATGGTGTGGAATAAGATTCAACAACTTTTCATGAGAAGCCACAACTCCTTGGAGACTTTTACAACGAATCATGTTGCACAGAAGTTTCGAGAGCAAGCACACGAACCAACTTGTGCATATGAGGTTAGTTAAAGGGACAAAAATCAATAAGAAGTTCAAATCTGGAAGTGATTGGTAATAGCCAAGGCCATTATAAATATGCGTATTTACCCATGTAATTTGTATATATTCCTAACGTTGTAGTACGCCTGTTATATAAATGCTTTTTTTTACGAACGTAGGAACTAAAGATTACTGTCCAAGCCTCCATATATATATATATATATATATATAACTCAGAGTGTATCAAATCACTACAAGAGCATAACAGGTGGCAGGAGGAGGGTTATGAAAAAATTGTGTATTGAAAGTCCGGCCAGCGGCCTTTTTGGAATTTAGATAGTGGCGCTCCGGTCGTTTTCCTGTTTTGTGGATGACATTACAGTAAAATGTTACTATCCGAGTCGAAAACAAACCTCCTAGACATTGAGAAAAGTGAATCCTCAGAAGATCCAAAACAGCGTATGAAAACGTCATCGAGCCCCATGAAACCTTTACCAAGGAGGATAATCCTAGACAGTAAGCTGTATTTTTAGATGTAATCTATGATTTGGAAGTGTTTGATTTTGTCTTGACCGGTTTTGATTATGCAAAGGAAATCAGAACGATATTTTCAAGGGTTTCTGTCAATGATTCAGAATTAGTAGTATGGCTGAAGTGTTTCTATAAGTATAGAAATCAAACGTTTTTCCTTCACACTTTTATACGTGGATATGACTCCAATATAAAGCACCGATGAATATATGTAACCTATCACTTCAGTCTTCTGAAACCCATGATGCTATTAAGATGTCTGCGTTGAGCTGTCAACTTTAATTCTAACTACGAGCAGTCATAATCGGTTGTGTCGAATGACAGGTAAATACCTGGAAGTCATTGTAAACGATTTTGAATATCTCCCACTATTCGCCATTCTTCATCCTTTTGTCTACTGTTTTAATGAGTGCAAGTCGGTCATCGGTTCCTGGATGACGAGACTGATGAAATCACAAAAATAATACGGGGTATAGAATGTTGGGTGAGTTCAGGTGGATGAGAACTTTGACCACTCAACTATTTGGTTGTCAACTTAGTACATGTATCGGCAGTTAGCTGTGGTTGGTTATTTCGCGTGCTTATTGATCCACTGATCTTAGTTGGCTTGTTTCTTTGGTGGTTTTCGTCATAATTTGAGATTAACTAGAGAAAACCGGGGAGCTGTTGTTTTGGTCTGTGACATTCTAACGGTATAGGCCAAGTGAGTCACCACAAGAAATTCATTAATCGGGGCAAAACTACTTCCCGGTACTTTAGGCTTTCATCAGAAACAAAATCAACATAAGATCTTGCACTGAAGTGCGTCGATTCACTCTGCCACTCTTCACAACATTAGGGAAAGAACAAATGGGCAAAGGAAAGTGCAAAGAAGTGGTGGAGTAGAAAGAATTCAAGAAATAGAGGCTTTTGAAAATGTTCAAAATTTCAAGGCTGTCATAGAGTGAACCCAACTGTGCCATTATGAGCAATTTCCTGCCGTCACCAGAGATCTGTAGCCATTGATTCACATTATCTTGATTCTAGCCAGACAGTTCACCTTTGCATGGCTCAAAGCTACAGTAAAGAACTTCATGGTGGTGCCGCGCCTTATTACGTTCATCTTCCCTCCAACCCAATCCTACTTTGATTCACTGCGCTTTGGCATATGTAACGTGTCCAAGCCGCCTCAGTTAATGAGGATTCTCAACTCAATCAACTGGCTTTCCTTCCTTTTTTTATTGTCTCGTATCCGATCTCAACACTGCTCTCATCGATGTCAGCATACGTGATCTATATTACGAAGAAACCTGTGATACAAGGCTGATACCTTTTTGTATAATCTCTTAACAACCGTCTTACAGCTGTAAAACATAGCGGAGTGAATTGCAGCGCAGTATGCTCATATTCTAACAGTCGGTCAGATATCTCGCTGGTACCAGAAATGGCGCAAGTAAGCAAACTGTAAACGGGCTTTTTATATCCGAGCTAAGATTTTGACAACTATCCTCTTCGGATTGAAACAGCTTCTCAAGTAGAAGTAAATATTCTGTCACTTCATCCCTGTACTTAAACTATCAATGCAGATCATCAGCAGCATCTTACACTTAGAAAGTATGAAATGCATGTTAAAACCCAGATTTCCTCAAGACATTCAGAGGATTGCATTTTGTCGGTGTCTTCGCATTACTGGACAATGTTATCTGTGTGATGCAAGTTAACCAGCTGCTCTGGGAAGTTAGAGGTACTTGAGGGGATATCAGCACGTCAGTAACAATTAAGTAGTAATAATAGTGAGCATCTGTAGCGAGCTCTACTGATTGTAGTCTTTTCAGATGGTAACATTGTTAGCCCTTACACAGCTACTTGAGTTGAAGAGTCTTAGCATTGTGCACTTGCCCATTGCTTCCTCCGAAGTTGGACACGTCTACAACACCTCTCGGTTGATTGTTGAGTTCTGCATACAAGCTAAGAAATATAGCCGATGTCTGACGCTAGTAAGCATGTGTCTCAGAACTCGTCGAATGGTAATATGCTCTATGCAACATCATCCAGGTCTCCAAGCTTGTTCTCAAGCTTAAGCTAGACGTCAGCCAACTATGAATCAAAGGATCTTGGACATGTTAGTTATATATTGCTGAATAACCAGTAGTTAGAAACCACCCACGCTGAGCTGTATGTTTTACTAGCCAGATCAGAGTGATCTGAACACCAGGTGAGCGTTTCGACTGATTGCGGCTGAGCTCATTGTTATGTCCGAACAAATTAAGCTCAGCTGAATTGTTCACGATGTTAGTTAATTTAATGCCGTCATGGTTGCCACAAAATTTCTCTCCCTTTATATAGACGAATAATAAGTGATCTGGACCAGCCTGATGGGACTGCCTCTAACTCAAGTCTTGCTGGTTTGCACCACTTCACGTTTGGAACTGCCTTCTCAGCTCCAAAGAGAGTTGGAGGACAAACATCAATGTCCTATTCAGGTTCAGGCTGAATGATATGCACCTAAAGCGTTGTTTCGGGCCAGTTCAACTGTACTTCAAAATGATTTTCTGCCAAACTTTCTAGCTGTCCACCCTGAAAGATTTTCAGCGTCCAGTCCTTTCAGACGATGGTCTCACTAACCATAGCCTTCTTCTTGACAGTGCTCTTAACAAAACTAAATTAGTGACCGGTTACTACCTAACGCTGATGCCCGCCTCCATCTCTCTTGTTCTCGATACCCACCACTGCACGCGATCATTGTGAAGACATGGTGGATTTACAGTTAAGATGCTATTTCTTCTCATTGTGATCAGAGTTTTCTCGCACGAATCAGTTCGGTTGACTTTGTGTAAATCCATCGACATTTACTAACCTTTGGATGTAGGTTGACAACTGTCTTCATTTCTGTTTCTACAGGGACTTAGTATCACGCCAGGCTTCATCAAGAGGAGAATTCCTGCCATCTTCAGAAAGGTGCCCAGGTATCTATAAACAGTGTCCTCTCTACAGAGAAGCTCCACTTCTGCGTATCTCGCTCTCATTAAGAGAAGAAAACAGGTGCCCCTACTAACGCATAATCGGATTCCGAACAGGCAATGCAGAAGGAGCGACAATCCTCCATCGATCCTTTCTAATAATGGCTTATAGTAATTTGATTTGTCTGTTCCTACCGTCGGTTTGACGTTGGTGGACGCCGTGAGCCAGTGCCCCTCCTTTTACTTGAAGTTGGTGTTGGTCAGAAGCAAGTGGTTATCAGAACAGAATTGCAGCAAATGATCATCGTTGCCGGTTCGTTGTTACGGGTTTCCTTGAAGATGCCTTTCTGATCGAATCAGCTTTCCTACTTGAGCGTTCAAACCGTCTGCTAATGTACTTATATCTGGAAATTTCGCATTGTGTAGAAAACTCGACAGATTTCGACGGAACTCACCCTTCGTACAATCCGATCTGTAGTCGGCGGGCGTGTGGGCGGAGATCACGAATGGACGTTGGGTAGTCTCATGACCCTTCCTAGTTTTTACATATCCATTCAGTCGGACAGCACTTAGACGGCTGTTGACTGGTATCCAGTCAAAAAGTACGCTTTCTTTTCGAAAGTGATGCTATACCTACAGCGGTGATTCCACGAGAGCAAGCCATTGTGCCTGAGTACTAGTTGAGCTAATTCTGAAGACTTACCTCAATGGATACGTGAGATCGAATGGATAACCACGCTTGGGTACTGTATACGTGCCTCAAAAACACAGCGTGTGTTCATGTCTTGGTATTTCAGAGTTCTGGTAAGCGACGCCTGCTCTCTGAATTGTCATAGTTTTCTGGCGTTCAAAGCTCCAATGTGAACGTAGTAGCGGGGTTAGGAGACTAAGAGTAGTGCTTCATACACGCAGGTCGGCGGTGGTTGCAAAGTGAGAGATGGAAGTTGTAAAAGGCTTGATATTGGTATTGGACAACAAAGGCGACAGAAGGATGTAAGGAAGGTAGAATATGGTAGTTGGGTTTTTGTTGCCGGTGTGTGGGTGGTGGAAGTTGTTTCTGTAAAATACCTGAAAGAGAAAGGGGATTAGTTTTTTATGACCGCACAGCCCATGAGACATCTGCTTTGAGGCATATCACATATCCTTTTTAGTGTGGCTGGATTAAGATTTGATCGTACTAACACCAGACAAAAAGGATCCATGCTCCTAGCATCACAGTACCGCAGGGTAGTATGATATTTTTGGGCCAACCTTTCCTGACCCTGCTTTCTAACATGGAATACAACATCAACATGAACTGCTGGTCGTGTGGGGAACCTTACTACTGTCACAGCATCCTGCCAGTAGTACAGTTTCTACCTGGGAAGCCCATCGTGACGTAACTATTTACACCTTAACTGTAACTGCTTTTTGTCATGTCACTATCCAACAAACCTTCCTGGCATGGTAGGACCTCAATGAAGAAGCTTTACAGCCAGCGTAACTCATTCAGTCACTGTGATATGCAATCCCGACCACTATGTTGAAATAGCAACCATCTGTAGAGCTCCGTTTTTAATTTCTCTACATACTCTCAGTGCGTCATGAATGCTACCCTGCAGAACCCTTTCTCTATTATCCACAATTCAGTGAAATCGATCATTACGATGTAATAGTCCCTAAACTGTGCAGATAATTTCCAGATTCATCTTGCTACTTGTGTCTTTTTAACGGAGTTATGTGTGGTGCTAGAGTTAACTGAAATTCTAACGATGTATCATATTCACTTTTTTATCTTTACGACGCAATGGCAATGTTCCATAAACAGGTGTATTAGTTTTTGCCATAAAAACGATGCCAGTTTTAAGAATTTAAATCTCACGCTTAAGAGTTTCAGTAGGTTATAATGGTAATTTATCTACTAGTTGTCGGTAAATGTTCTGCCAAAGGGATAAGCTAGCTCATAAACAAGTATATAAATAGCCTGATACAGTTTTATGAACTAGTTTTAGCCACACCTAATTTGTATGGTACTTAAAACTACCAGGTTATACAAGATAGAGTAGTTTAAGTGAGTCTGTAACCGACTCAATCGCTGATGATTGGATGTGTAGACCACAACAGAAATAAAAATCAACAAATGCCAGATTAAATTTGAGACCACATATCCTGGAAATATGTGATGAGAGTTCACGAACAGCAATCAGAGGATGGCAACGGATTAGTGAGTGTATCAAGCTTGTTAGATGTTTTCGAACTAGCATGTTATTCTTAGGGGTTCAGATGGCATTTTCCAGCATACGTATAACACTAAAAGCGCATTGATTTTCCAGGTATCTCATAACAGTCATCAAATTGTTGGTATCAGTAGGTAAGAACTTATGTATATACTATCATCCAAAGTTCTGCACTTCGCCTGTCTTACATACAAATCAGGCGCTAATAAGCTCCAGTCTTTTATAAATGTGTAATTGCGATGTCAAGCAAACTTATAAGCTTACATGATATCTCTACATGCTTGCTCCGCAGATAAGCATTGTAAATGAGAAGCACTATCTAGCCTTGTTTTCTATCCAGTCACTTTTTCCGAGAGCTGAAGCGTTCTGCATGTGGACCACTGTGATTTTTCTCCATGTGTGACACGTTTTATTGGTCATCCATCCAAGTTTTTATCACAATTGCTCTTTTTTAGATGAAAATGACGATGACGATGAACGTTTGGCTCGACGGAAGTCTCGTCTACTTGAACCTCATCCCGCTAGTGTGAGTAGTCCAAGTGCGAATTCCTCTGCTAAACGCCGTGTAGATGCTGAACCTCCACGAGGTATACCTCCAGCACAAATTGGAGAACATTATGGCAATTGTATTCGACTGGCTGCAGAAAATAAGATCACAGCAAAAAATGCTTTCAACTTACATCTCATAGATTATATGAGTGAAATGATAAAAAAAGAAGACTTCACAAGCTTCCAGGTATTAAACACTGTTTAAATGGTCAGGTTATTTGTCAGCTTTTCATAAATGCTTTTGAAACTAATGAGGCACATAAACAGGTCAATGAATATTCTACATAAATATTAAACCAGAACATTTGTCTCCAGTTAACGCGAAATATTTCATCCAGTCAGAATTTGAACCTCGGAAGTAACAGATAACTAGAATCAATCAGTCACCAGGTCAACCAAATTCATTATACATCACTACCACTTTTCTGTTAACCAGAAATAGAGGAATTTTAATCTAGCTGATGCTCATGTTAAAACCCTTGATATTGTAGTGGGATCTTTGTAGTGGAAGTGTTTGTGACATTCTTAATTTTTTTTGTGATTGAAGGTAGGTTGTAATCTGGCGGACTGTTGCATTTGGTAGCTTTAAGTGGTGATTTATCACAAAATATTTTTATCCTTTTATGAAGTCTGGGTTGGTCAACACTATGAACCAGTCAGAGGGATCATGCCTGACTCATTTCCCATATCATGCCTAAGTCAATCTAACGAATAATCCTGAACACTTACCTTTGGGTACTTCTGTCTGTAGTCCATCAGAATCCTCTACCAACCCAGTGAAAATCCTACTTAAAGAGTAAAGTAGCTGCTACTGGGTAATCTGTTTCTAAAACCATTCTACTGATCGTTTCAATCTTTTTTCATGAGTGAATCACCAACCCGTCAACGACTTTTACGGTAATCTAAACAACTACGTTTGTCTATCTCCTCCCTCCTCCACCTTTTTGATTTTTTTTACTGCTATGCACAGTCATTGCATAAGTTCCTTACTAGTCTACACTTAAACTACTTTTGCTCTTCACTGTACATACAGGTTATTGGAATTCATTTTCAAAATCATTTAAACCTGGTCAAACCTGCGGAGATCCATCAGCGTTTTCTTATCTTTTCCGAAAGTTACTCAACCTTGATTACTTTCCAACATTGTGATCAAGCCAAGCATCATCAGGATAAATAACAGTTTGACTAGCTTTTTAGCCATTTACCCACCCAATACCGTTTTGAAAACTTAAGCTTATTGCTCAGTTCTAAGGTATCTTCTGGTTGTAGTTTGTCTGCATCTGTTAAGATGAAGACATACGTGTTGTCAATGTTCAAATATCTACTTCAGAAATAGTGACTATCCTGCATTGACACTGCAACAATTACTGTTAGCGATATAGCTGATGTGGACTTTTGGGTTGAGGTTGATAGGTCCAGATCAGATAATTCCTGCCTCAAATTAGTGCTGCCTAGAAATAGTGATTATCTTCACACAGCTGCAGTAATAAATCATCACTGTTAATTCACTAGTCTGAGAGTGCTGAAACCTAACAAAACTCTACCAAGTATATGCAGCGGACAGTGAAACAGTGTGAAAGCTAGTAGTGATAACCTGCTTACCAAACCCCGGTAGGTGGAAGAAATCTCAAATCCATGACGGTAGTTCGAAATCATCTGCCTAGACCAATGAACCACAAAATTTTCATCCTGTTTGGCTTCAAAATACTAATTTACTTTGAAGTCGCCCATTATAACGACATTTTGTTGAAAGCTCAACAGTCCTTGATAGAATTCATCATTTTTGTCCTTCAAATACAGTCAGTGGATGTAGAAGATGCAAGGAAAACCAACAATCCATTTTAGCTCTTTCATTATATTTACCATACAAATGGTATTATTCGCTGGGTGGAGTGTGGGTCATTGGTCTAGACACTCATCTTCCAACCAGTGAGTCCCGGTTTCAAACTCTTCTCCAGCAAGGACAGACAGACAAAATCAATGTAGAACCTCACACACAACTGCGTCCCCTCAAGTTGCCACACTTCACGGGAGCATACAAACAACAGGTGGCTAGAATAAGAGTGATATCAAACCAGACAAAGTAGTGTTCGAGAGTAAGCAATTTGAATATAAAGATCAGTGGGAATATTCAAGCTTTGGAAGACGTAAAGAAGTAAACACATCTACTGTGACTGTAACCGATTTTCAGCCATGTCACCAACAGTCCTCAACTACTGATTTCTTTCATCTCAGAGACTCCAACCAGACAGTCTACATCTCTCCACACACGACTCAAACCAACAGTAAAAGACTTCAACTGGTATCACGTCTTCGTTTAGCCACCCTGAACTCTTCCAACCTAATTCAACTTCCTCTAGCTATAGCACGTCAACAAAGGCGGTGGCTTGGCATGTGAAGTACGTGTCCACACAATCTCAGTCGACTAAGGTTCACAAAATCACCAACCCACTTGACTATCTTGCCTAATACCATTCGCCTGACCTCAATATTCCTCACACAGTGATTCCATCAAGCGCGAGCAATCCTACGAAGACACCTGTCATCAAAACACTACAACCACTTCATGTCTCCTATCTTTACCGACCACGTCTCACAGCCGTACAATCAGACAAAACGGACAACAGTGTAGTGTAGTGTAGTATACTCGTGGTTTGATAGGTAGTCGAATCTCTCACCAGTTGATGCCACAGATGAAGTAAGTAGGCGGATGCGAAATGTGTCTTGTGTGACCGAGCTGAGATTTCGTCATTAACCAGTCAGTTTGTTGTACTCATGTTGCTTGCCGAGTAAGTGAAGTGGTTGACACATCTCACCACTTCACTGCCTATCATTAGACTGTGAGTGTTTGAGGCAGATGCCTTGGAGTATCCTCTTACAATTGACAATTGCGAAACGTATGCCAAACATTCTCCGATTTCTGTTCAACGCGTCCAGCATGCCCTGCATTTTGTCAGCGTCTTCACTGAGCAGGATGATATGGTCTGCATACTCCAAGTTAACCCCATGACCTCCAGGCAGTAGGTGAATCCATGTGAAATCTGACGTACATGAAGTTATTTCCATTAGCACGTTTATGAAGCCGCTACCTTGACGTTGTGGTCGGGTTTGCATATCACAATGACCCGACGAGCTATGCTGGTGGGACGCGTGTTCCCTCGAGGTTCCACCATACTAGTAAGGTCTGTTGGATAGTGGTTAGACAAAAAGCAGTTACCGTTGTGGTGCAAAATACTACACCATGATGGGGATCTGAGGGAGAAGTCGTACTGCTGATATCTGGATGTTGTGTGACAGCAGTAAGGTGTTTCCCTTGGGTGACCAGCAGTGCCATGCTGATGGTGCCTTCTCAGTGGAATGGGGGGGGGGTTAGAAAAGGTCGGCCCCAAAAATAACACACTCCACCATGCCCCACGGTTTGCTTGGCCGGCGGTGTTGGTTCATTTGTCGTTTCCTTTCGACCATCCGGCCCCAAAAATACAAAAGTTCAAAATAATCATACTCAAAAGGCTGTGTGTGACAGGTCTCAAGCAGATGTCCGATGAGCTCAGCGGTCACACAAATCTCTTTCAGGTACCTTTAGAAGAAATAGCCTTTCACGGTGTGGGCAGCCGGGAAGTGTCAACCGCCCTCACAACTCTGTCAGCACTCAAGTTTCTTCTGACTGCTATCCACCTCACCCCTCATTACCTTCTAATCTTCCTTCACGTCTCTTAATTAATGATGCTGCATCATCTTCAATTTCTCCTACCTCTGCAGCCTTCGACAACGATCTGAGTCCACAGAACAGCATCACTGGTCTCCTTCAACCACGCTCCAAATTACATATTGGAGCCTTCAATGTCCGCACCCTCCGTCAAATTGGTCAACAGGCTTCGTTGGCAAAGACTCTAGCAACTCGGGCATGGATGTTTGCTGTGTTTGTGAGACACGCATACAGGACCCAAGTATGGTTATTCACCTGACCTCTCCTGACCAATCTGGTGAATCCGCAAAATTCACCCTTCGAGTTTCTGGAGATTCGATAGCTAGCTCTCGTGGTCTTGCAGGTGTAGGTATAGCATTAAGCACCAGGGCAGAAAACTCACTACTAGACTGGATCCCAGTTGATAGTCGCCTCTGCGCTATGAGGCTGGACGGCACAGCGAGACTCGCCGTTGTCTCTTTGTAATCTCTGCTTACACACCCACTGACTGTAGTTCGGATGAAGTGAAGGACGAGTTCTACCGTAAACTGTCTAACCTCCTCTAGAAAGCCAAACGTTCGGACGTAGTGGTTGTTGCAGGTGATTTCAATGCACAGGTGGGTAGACTGAGTGAGGCAGAAAGGCACTTAGGTGACACTGAACGAACGGATAACGGTGATCACCTACTATAACTGTGCTCAGATAACCGCCTATTTTTAGTTAGCACAAATTTTAGACATAAAGAAAGACATTGTGTGATGTGGCTTCCACCGAGCTCAACTCAGTGATGGACACATAGACCACATTGGTATCAGTCATCGGTGGGAGACTGCCGCTCCTTCTGCAAAGCGATCACGCGGTGGTCCGAGTGCGTATATGCCTGCGTCTCAATGGACGTAGGGAAAATTTTGCAACAAAACCACTACGAGTGTTGCTGGACAACGAAAACACCAAAGCTGTGTTCAGTGAAAAGTTGGCTAGACAGTTATCGGAACAAAAGACTATCACTCATCCAGAAGAAGCTTGGTGCCATCTTCAGTCTGCTGTAAAAGCAGCATTGAAGACCGTAGGTGACTCCGAAATAGTGGCTAAAAAGAGCCAGTGGATGTGAGCAGCTTCTTCCGAACCAATGGATGCACGTGAACGCATCACTGCCTGCAGGCTCTGAGTACAATGAAGAGCGAGCGCAACTTAAAAGTAGACTGATGAAAAGTCTGCGCAACGATAGTGAACAGTGGTGGGCAGCGAAGGCTAAAGAGATGGAAAAGGCGGTGGCGATCGGTAACAGTAGACAGTTATTTACACTTATTAAGGAGACTGGGGGTGGGGGGAAGGTCAACAACAGTTAGTGAGGCTATAGCAGAGAGGGACGACCCCCCAACACTAGAAGAAGTTGCGAAAGCGGTAGGTAACCTGAAACGAGGAAGGGCAGCAGAACCAGACGGACTAACTCCTGAGGTATACAAGGATGGTGGTGCAGTGCTCTTAGTCAGGTTAACGGA